TAAAAAGCCTAATACTGCCGGCTAGGATAATAAAAATAAAAAAAAAAAATAAAAAAAAAAAAAAGGCCACTAATATTATTACTATAAAAATTACTTTTTAAGTAGTTTTTTTTATACCCTTTTTTATTTTTTTTTTTAATTTAGCAGGGTGCCTACGGGCATATTTTATATTTTTTACCTTTTTTTTAGCAAGGTGTATATAGTATTAATTACTTTAAAAGTAGTTTTCTAGTTCCTAGTTTTTTTTTATATATAATAAACCATGATTAAATACCCTAAACTATAATAAACTTTACTTTTTTATAATTAAGTTTAAACTAGCTTTAATAATTTTTAAACTAGTTTTATTTTTAGGTGTAGGCCTGTTAAAAACCAGTTATTTTTAAAAAAAGTAAAAAGGTAATTATTATTTTTTTAAATTTAAAGTACTTTTAATTAGGGCTAAACTAGTTTAGTTTAGGGTTATAAAAAAAAATTATAAAAATAAGATTTAAATTAAGTATATAACTTATTATACAAGATACCCCTGGATTATTAGGCTTAATTATTTTAAAAGTACTTTTAGTATTATTAAGTGGCTAAAAATTTTTAAAAAATTTATTTACTTATTTTTAATTAAAAACTTATTTTTAAATTTTTATTATTGTATTATGCTTGCTAGGCTAAAAAATATATTTTAAGCTTACTTATTTCTTACTTATTTTATATATTTTGCCTAATAAAAGTAGTTTATTAATAGCCTAAAGTAGTTTATTTCTTGTATACACGCTGTGCTAAAAATCTTGGTTAATAAATATATATATTTTTATAATATTTATATTTTAACTAGCTAGTATATTAAAACTTAATTATTATAATATAAAACTATATTAACATGCTATTAAAGCCAAGTAAATAACAAAATTTTATTTTTAAATAAGTAACTAAAGTACTTTTAAAAATATTTAAACTAATTTAAAACTAGTTTTAATTACTAAAATTATTAACCTTTTTTTTAATATATTTAATAACTTTGGTAAATATAACAGGCCCCCTAGCTATTTTATTATAAAAATATTACTTTAACTAGGCTAGCTTCTTAAAATTAATTTTAATTTTACTTTTAACTTTTAATTTTTGGCCCTTTACATGGGTGGTAGTAGGAAAGTCTTAAAAAATATTAAAAAATTTAAAATAATTAATAAGTACTTAAGAACTAGTTTTCCGGTAAACTTATAATATTAATACATGTTTTTAAATAGGCGTAGTAATAAAAGTACTAAAATAATATTAATATTAAAAAAATCCAGCCCTAGGGTAAAGCAGGCTTTATTAACTTATATAATATATTAATAGGCAGGTGTAGTAAAATTAGCCTTAAAAAATTATTAATACTAAAGTAGTTCTTCCCGTAAGTAAAGTAGTTTTTAAGGTATATTAAAATATATAAAGCATGTTATTTATAGGGTGTGGCTAAAGTTATACTAAAGTATTATTAGTATAAAACTAGTTTTTATATAAAATAAAGTACTTTACCTTTTTATATAATATAATTAAAATTAAAAGCCCCTGGCATATATAAATTTAAAAAAACTTAACTTAAATAAAATTTTATTAAAATTATTTTTTACCTTTTATAGCTTTTTTTACTTTGCTATATTAAAAGCCTTATATTTCTAGTATATTAAAAAGGTTAAAAGTAGTTTTAAAGTAGTTTTAAAGTAGTTTTAATATATATATAATTTTTTATATATACTTAAAATATTATTTATACATGTTATTTATGCAGTATTTATGCTAAGTTTTATAAAAAATTTTTGCATAATATTAATTTATATTATATTAATTAAGCTACCGGGAGCTGCCTTAAAATTAGTAATTAAAAATAATTTTTATAATAAATAAAATAGTTTTAATCTTATAACTGCACCAAGTAGTAACTTTTAAGTATTTAAAAAGTAAAACTTATAGTAGCTTTACTTAATAATATTAATATTCTCCTGGATTTACTTATAATAATTAAATAAAATTTAAAAACAAGCTTGGTTAAAACTAGTAGTAATAACTAAATAAGCTTTATATTTAGCCTAATTATAAATAAAGGTATTCTTATGTGCTAATTAAAGTTAAAACTAGTTTTAAAGTACTTTAAAAAATAAAAAAACATACTTTAAAGTAATTTATAAAAATTAAAATAATTTTTTAAAGTCTTAATAGTAAGCAAGCTTTTTATATAATAATTAATAAATATATAATACTCCTCCTAAGGGCAAAGCTTTTAAATAATTTAAAAAAAGTAAATATAATATATAATAAAAATATTTTTTAACTACTATATTTAAATATAACTATAAAAATTTTTTTTTAAAGGTATTAGCCTAATCCTAGAACTAGTTTAGCCTAAAATAAAAGTAGTTTTATATAAAGCTTATTAGCTATTTACTTTATATATATATTTGCTATAATACCCTTAATACTAATATTATAAAAGTAAAAAAACTAGTTAAAAGACCCCTACATAAAAGTAATAAGGCTAAAAACCTTTTTAAAAAGTAAAAAATATTTATTTATAATTTTAATATTAATAAAAACACGTAGTAATATAAGAACTAAAAGTAGTTAGTAACTAGTTTTAAAAAAAAGGCAAGATATAGGTAAGTAAAGTACTTAAAAAGTACTTTTTAACTTACTTTTACCATGCTTTAGTAAAAATATAGTAAAAATAACTTTATTAAAGGCACCCTTAACACGCTTATAAAATATATTAACTTTAAAAAAGTTTAGCAAGGCTAAAAGCTTAATTTACTTATTAAATATATAAATAATTATAATAATATTTTTATAGGTAACAAGCCTTTAGTAATAATACTTTTTAAATAGTTAGTAACTAGTTTCCAGGGTATAAAATAGGCTAAATACTTTAAAATTTAGCTTAATTAAAAGCTAAAACTATATATTAATTATTTCCCGGCCTTTAAAATAAAGCAAAGCCCTTTTTTTTATAATAATAGTAAAAAAATAATCTTGGTTTATAAAGCTATTATAAATTTAAAATAATATTTAACTATTATATTATTAATAAAAGTTCTAAAGGGCTAAACTTTTTAAAAATTAATTTAAAAATAGTTTAGCACTAAATAAAATTACTTATAAAGTAGTTTATATACCTATTATAAGGTTAGGATCTTATATCTTATAAATAAGCTTAATAACCTTATTAAAAATAGCTTTTAAAGGTTAATTTAGTAAAAAAAAAAAATAAATATACATGCCTTAAAAAACTACCATGGTAAAAAAATATTTTAACTAGTTTAAAAAAAATAAAAATATTAAATATAACCTTATACTTAATTTTTTTAAGTTTCTTTTTTTTTATAAGTGGCTTTAGCTTAAATAAAGTAGTTAATAAGTAATTTTAAGGTTTTAAAAAAAATACTTATAAAACTAGTTTTATTTTTAAAAAACTAGTTTTAATTTTATATACCACACTTTTTTTTTTAACTAGTAACAAGCTTAATTATATTATATTTTTTAAAATTAACTAGGGCTAAAGCCTTAAAGCAAGCCTAAAATAACTTAATATTAATATTTTAAGCCTAGTTAAATAAGCTAAACATAAAATACTTATTAAAATTATATTAGTTATTATGCAGGTATATTATATAGTAATAATATATATTAAAAATATTTTAAAGTAGTTAAAAACTAGTTTATACTTTAAAATTAAGGCTGCTTACTAATATAGCATACTTTTATAAAATAGGCTTATAAATAAAAATTACCCGTGGGCATGTTTTTTTACCTTTAAAGTATTTTTAAGTTACTTAAAAAAGGCTAAACAGGCTTAATTAATAAAGTAGTTTTAAAATAATAAAACTAGTTTTAACTTATTTATATATAATTTTAACCTTTAAAAAAGCTTTACCTACTATAATTTCCCTATACTTATTATATATTTTATTTAAAAAATCTTTTTTAACCTTTTAATAAGTAATATTTTATAGTTTTAAATTTAAATACTTATAAACCTTAACCCTAAAGTAATTAAAGTAAAATTTACTATATATTTATTTAAAAAACTAGTTAAAAATCCACCTTATACCTTTAATTTTTGCCTTATAATATATAAATTAAAGTAATTAATAATTAGTTTTTAAAAAATATAAACTTATATATATTATATATTTTTTCTTGGGACTATGTGCCTATTATTTTATTTATATAAATAATATATATATAATTATTAAAATTAGTAGCAGGATACTTTAATAGGTAATTAATAAATTAAAAATAATAAATTAAAATAAGGTATATTTAGCTAGTAGTTACTAGTATTAATATTAATAGCTTTTAAAAAAGTAGTTAAAAAGTACTTTAAAAGTAGTTAAGGGTTTTTATATTTTATTATTAAAATTAGCTTTTTAGGCTTAATTACACTTTTAAAAAATATTTTACTTTTACTTATTAAAAAAGCCTAGTTAATTTATAAAAACTTTTTTAATAGCTAGCTAAGGCAAAGGTGTTAGTATTAATAAATTAATAAATATATTAATTATAAAATTATTAAGGGGATTATTAATTAAAGCTATAGTAAAATAATTTAAAGTATTATAAAATTACTTTTCTTGGGATACTAATAAGGTACAAAATAAAATTTATTAAAAATATAAGGTAGGCTAAGGGTTTTAATTAAGCAAGCTTAACTTACTTACCTTAGCTTAATTAAGCTGCGGTCAGCTGCAAACGGGGTGGGCCGACCTGTATTCACGCGCTGACCCGCCGCCTGACCGGACCGCCACTCTGGGCCAGCAAACACAAGAAGAACCTGCGGGACAGGAGGGCGCTTTGTGCTCAAAGGAGCCGTTTGGTGCCGAGGGAGACGGGGAGGTGACCTATTTTGGGTCGAGCAGTGGACGCGTTGAGCTTTTGCAGTTGAATGGTGGTATGTACTATCCATCTTCTCTATTTGTGGCTCGTCTTGCTGAACAAATCTGGCAGTGGATACCGAGAACGCAGCAGCGATGGCACCACCTCCCTCAGCCAGATCTCGTCTAAACCAATTCTGTCAGGAGATCGAATCCACGCCAGACATCTCGGAGGAACTGAAGGAGCACCTGGTCGTACTGTACTTCAAATGGGAGCAACCCTGGTGTCAGCTCGTGGACGAGTCTCTTTTCCGCCAAAGCATGCATAGTCAAGGTCGTTATTTCAGTCCCCTCCTATTGAACAGCATCCTTGCCATTGCTTCCCGCTACTCTGACCGACCCGAGGTGCGCTCCGTTCGCGACGACCCCAACACAGCTGGTCAAACCTTCCTCGAGGTCGCCGAGGTGTTCCTCCACTTCGACCTGCAGTATCCGAGTATCACGACGATACAGTCTCTCGGCATCCTGGCGATGATGTATGTGGTGAGTGACTTTCTGCCATCTGTCATTTGAGCCCGTCAGTTGAGCATAGCTGAGATTACTTGGTACCCCAGGCAACCGGATCTGATTCAAAGGGCTGGCTCCGTCATGGGATGGCCGTTCGCTTGGCTCTGGATATGGGCTTTAATTTAGATCATCCAAGCCTGAGCAAGTCCAACGTACTGCCAGACGTGGAGAAAAAGCTTAGACGACAAATTCATTGGGCGCTATATTGCACAGATAAGACTTGGGCAAGCTATACTGGGAGAGTATGTACTATGCTGGTATGTATGATCCCTCACCAACCAAGCATAGTCCCTACCATTACCCAATGGACTTTCATCGCTTAATTATTATAGGATTCGCAATTCTGTTCAATTTTCAGCAAATCCAGAATACAGCCCTGGAAAGTCCGATGCATTTCGGTCCATACCAAGAAGATCATACAAGGAAACGCCAACAGTCAGCCACCAATATCCTGGATCTGGAGACCAACCTCTGCCAGTAGCCGAGGGATCCGTGCAACAGCTTGACGGTCCCATTCCCTCACATCATCCGGTAACTGTTCCCAGCTCACGATGTACGGACTGATCTTGCCCATGATATCCTTTTCCGGTCCCCAAACCCATCCATCTCTCAGCCGCTCGCAATTCCACCTGGCATGCTCCTGCTCTGCCATTCTGGTTACCTCGTCTGGCTTCAGTTTCCGAACCAGGGGGTAAGCGTATCCTTCCGGCTTCGGGCGAATCTCGCATCCCATAAGCCGCAGCTTGTCGGCAATGTGGTCCGCCTGAAGACGATTTGATTCCTTCAGGTGTTCGACCAGGTCGTCCCATGATGCCATGTTGGCTGGTAACAATCTCCGTTGGTCGTGCTGGTAATGCTCGTGTATGGCTCGTGCGATGTCCTCGCGGTAGCTGTCTTTCATCCTACCGGATTGAGGGGCGAGGAAGACAGAGATTGTCATCGGATCCTGAGGCAGCGAGATCAGGGATTTCGAGTGTTTCCAGGCCTCATCCTCCAGTATCGAATCTGCTTTCCCTTTGCTCCCCTTTAGAAGGCCCACTTCTGCTCCGAGTGCGGCGGCCATCAGGTATTCGAACCCCGAGACCCTATCGCCGCCAATTCCAAGGATCTTGACGCTGGCAATATCGATCTGTGATCGTAGAATGTCGGACCACTTTTGCAAAGGGAGCCGCGGAGAGTACTCCTCTTCGTCCACCGTGATAATCCTCTTGTAGTGGCGGATATCGTTGGGTATGTTGTATGGGACACCGCGAGGCACATAGCCCACTAGGTCGATGGCACTGGAGAGGCTGGGGTTCTCAGTGAAGACCTTGCCGACGATCTTGCTTATGCCGGAGGTTACTCCCTCGATTATGACCATGCCGCTAAAGTGTAGAAGGAAGGGACGGAGTATTCGTTCATGTAGCTGGCGAGATTGCTCATCCAGATCCGTCCTTGATCCCGAGATTATCACCACAGGCCCGGTGAGCTTGAAATCGTACGGCGTGTCTACTTCCCATCCAAACCTCTTTGAGAATAAACCTATAAGTACCAGTGCCTGATTCACGGTCCACCGCAGCCTCTCAGGCACTGCATCTGATTCCAATGACCGGAGCAACTTGGCAGATCTGGTGGCCACGTATTCTGTGTTGGTGATGTTCAACCCCTGACAGTAAGAAGTCAAGGCGGGCTCCCACTCCTCTAGAAGCACGTGGAAGAATCCAGTATCATAGTACGCCCATGGAAGATTGACTCTGACGTTGATCTGCTCGCGGGATCGCGATATGGCCGTCCGAATAACGGGCTGAAGATAGCGAATGGTCGAGGGGGACTCATTGGTGCTAAGCTCCAGACCCAAAAACCTGCTGAGAACTCCAGGATTGGAAGGGTCGATCGAGAATGCATCTGAGTAGTGCTTCCGGGCACTGTCGTTGTCCCCGCGATCCTCAAATGTGCGTGCAAGAGCAATGTGGGCCTCGATATCCGACGGGGCGAGGTCAATCGCTTTCTGCAGGTGTTTCTGTCCCTCACCGTATTCTGGACTGTCCGGCGAGTGCAGGTTGCACGTCAAGACTCCCAATCGAAGAAAAACCACCGGACTTTCGACGCTAGGGGGCTCCGCCGCGGCCTTGGATAGGATCTCGACAGCGCCAGCCCAAACATCGGGTTTCTCAAGCTCCACTGCCAGAGATCCAATTCTAGCGGCCAGGCCAACTCTCTCAGACTGCGATGCCTCGTCGGTGCATAGAACAAATTGCAGGAGGTCGATCTGTTTCAAGATCTCCTCTTGGCTCATGTACGTTCGGTAATGGCCCTTGTACGAGGTCAGGCCCTTGCGGACTCGCGAAAACACCTCGTCTGACTCCTCAAGAATGGCCGCCGCACAATAGACCTCGCGTTGGAGCTCCCTGGGCATCTGGAAGTCCGGCTTGTACGCATACTCGTACGAGATGTCTGCCCACGCATGCTCGAGCAAAGTCCGCACTTGGATCTCGGCGCGCGGATTCTCCATGTCCCTGATGTTTTCATACCCTGGCTTGAAGTCGCCCCTTCTGAATCGCACGATGTAATGGACAGACCGGTATCCAAACTCCCTGGATTGGAGACGGTGCGTATGGTCAACCGAGTTCTCCGCATCGATCTCGAACCGATCCCTCAGGGCCCTGACGACGCCCTGGACTTCATCAGTTGTATGCGTGATTACTCGGCCCCCGCACAGGTCTGTGTATTCGGCACAGGGGTCGTGGTGTGGTTTTCGAAAGATCTTCTCTGCGAAGCTGGAGACGGACTTTGGTCGGGTCTGCACGAGAGCATGCGGGGCCACTGGTTGAATCAGGTGCGTAAGCTCCTCTTTCAGAAGTTGTGCAAGCCTGAAATACGCTGGATAGCGCTGTTTGGCATATGTTGTAATCTGATGCAATTTGGTCTCCTTAGAGTCCGCCATACTATGGTATCTTGGAAGTTACGCTCGGATCTCTGATTCCTGAGAATGATGTCTATCATAAGACATACTATCTGCCAACTGAAGCAAGATCCCGAGTTTATAGAAATAATTGCTGGTAGTCATGGCCATGATCCAGATAGGGTCAAGTTGGGTGGTGACGTGCATGATCTAAATCACACAACCAGCAAGAAATGCCACTGCGTGGAATGCATACCCATTAGACAAAGCTATTCAAGACCACGCGGATTTGGAGGTAAGCAATCCAGGCCGAACTATTGCACTTGAAGATCTTCCTTCGTATCTTATTGGGGTTCCATCAAGAGCGAACCATGGATTATTGTAACCCTCGTCGTCAGCATCTGGATGACATGTGCGTCGGATCTAGACTCCACCCCAGATCTCAACCTTTTTATTTTGTTATATCATTGCTTCTCGCTGATTCATCCATGATTTCCAGATGCATCTGACCCCCGGGCCACGTATCGATGTATCTGTTTTCGGCGCTCAAGAGCCATGGGGTACGCCCCATGACCACTCTCGTGATATCATTACTGTTCAAAGGCAGCAACTGGGTATAAACCAACACGAACCCCAGATGCCAAACCAACAGAAAGGATGCAGTATTCGAGATTGAATTCTAAAAGTCCGTTTGACATGTCGTCGTCTTCCCAGTCTGACTATGCTGGCGCGATCGATTTCATGCTCGAGCAGCTCAACAATGCTTCCCTGGACCCCGTTCGCGCAGAGAGCATGCGAAGCGCACTGGAGGACCTAAGACCGGTGGGGGCCATCCTGGACGAAGAATCTTCTGAAGAGGAAAGCGTGGAAAGCAAAGTGGAACGTGTTCATCAACTGCAAGGTGCAGCGCAAGATGTGCACAATCTGATAGCCCGGATAGGTCCTGCGATACGAAACCCAACATATCCGGGCCGGAATGTCCAGCCAAGTCCGATACTAGCGGACATACAAGAGCTGAAGCTTTTCCTAACTGATGTGCGGGGCATGACGGGGGGGAAAGAGACTGTTCAAGCAGGGACCCTCTTCTCACGCCTTGCAATCCTGCAGTCACGGCTGCATGGTGCTCGAAGCGAAGCAGAGGTCAAGCAGCTCGAGGTAGAGGAGCTGCGTCAAGCCGCCGAAGACGTTAGGCGGTTCGCTCGCCGCAGGAACATCCTGCTGGCCCAGCCCATCTGGTCCTACCGCGGGGGTGTTCCGTGCGCGAATGTTCTTTTCTTTTCCGGGCCTGATTCAACGCGAGAGGCCCTTTGTACCTTCGCAAAGCTCCGTGGGTTCGAAGTGAGAGACAAGAACCCTATCGGAGTCGACTTTGCGGAGGGTCGCTGGCATGACTTGCAAGAAGCTAACCTTGCTGTTTTTGATCTATCGGAGGAAGCGCCGCAAGTGTATTACGAGATGGGGGTTGCCATTACGCTGGGAAAGGAGCTCGTGCTCTTGTGCCGCAGAGGAGTCAGCCCCAGGTTTGATGTTGGGCAGAATTATGCAGAGTATGAAGTTGAAGATGATCGATACGGCGTCGTTCAGGCTGCGTTAGATTCGTGCCTTTATCGACTGCAGAACCGCGGCGATCGGTCGACATCAACAGCAAAAGACACCTACAGCTACGCAAAATGGCTTGCTCGTCAGCAACCGCACAATGCCATCCTGGCTGCCTTCTGTCAGTCAAACGAGGCCGGAGACGATCCGCTCGAGATAGACAGCGCCCTCCGCGTGCTGAATCAATTGCTGACACGGCAACATGAGATAATCCTTCCGCGGTGGCCAGGCTGCTACCCAGACCCTGAGGCCAAGAGATGTTTCGTCGTCATGCCCTTTGCTGCGCACATGGGGACTGCGCGGGCTGCGATTGAGATCGGGATCAGTTCAGCGGGTGGGCATGCCATTCGAGGAGACGTTGCGGAGGGTTCCCATATACTACGGTCAATCTGGGATGAGATAAACCGTGCAAATCTTGTCGTCGTCGACCTGACGGAATTCAACCTCAATGTCTGCCTTGAGCTGGGCATTGCTCATACCCTCGGCCGACAGGTCCTTCTCACGGGTTATGAGGGGACGCAGAATAGCCTCAGCCGGGCTCTACCGAACGTAGCAAAGGTTCGCCTACAGAGTTACTCGAGCCATCTTTCCTTGGAGAGAACATGTTTCGATACCGTGGACAAAATCGATGGTCGGCGCCCGGTGCTTCGGGGGAGTCCGGCGGTCTCCTCTTCGATTGACGCGATTAGATAGCTAGGGTTTATGTTTGGCAGGCTGAGTGTATAATAACCATGATGTTCCACTGACCCAGTCCTGTCCTCATTCCATTGTCCCGCATCAAAATACACAATCACCGAGTCACCCAGCACCTCTTATAGAAGATAAGCATCATCCAGATAGAACCGGAAGCATGCGTTCGTCTTTCCCAACAGCTTCTGGGTATACACAGCACTCGCAGCCCTACCAATGCAACCAAATCACAAGGCCGCTCTTCACCGACAACTCGGACTCCCAACTGGCTTCGCAACCGCATTCAACGGGTTCCTCTGCGAGCACCCATACGCCACGCCGAGCAGGGTGTCGTCGACGGCGGCATCGTATGCGGCGCCGCAGTTGGGGTCACTAACGAGAGTAAATCAGCACCTACATCTGTATGTTTTTCCTGATAGTGCGCTCACCTCGACCCCCCACTCGCATTCTCAAAGAACGAGCAGATATCGTGCGCGAAGCAGTCCTGCGTGTAGGCGTTGCCCAGCGCGGCGCCCGTGCATCCGGCGCCGCAGCGGCCGTTGCAGGAGTAGCTGTTAGCGGTGCCGCTTGTTAGCGAGCATGTTCAGTCCAGTGCCGGCGAGGTATGAACGTAGGGAGCGTACTCGCCTGACCCGGCGCTATTGGAGCCGTAGTTGCTGCCGACGACGCCGGAGAAGGTGCATGTCTGGCCGGCGCTGTTGGTCCAGGTTGCGGTTGCGGTGGACCCGACTGTTAGGCAGGTGACGGAGCGTTTGGTGAGGAGTTTGGGTCCCTGCCCTGGTGGCGAGGGAGTGGCTGGGGCTAGGAGGGGCAGGAGGCCGAGGCATATTGTTGTTCTGCGAAGAGACAGCATTTTGCTCGATGGTGGTGAGTATGAGAGTTCACGTAGGCTGCAGCTCTCCGGGAATTTATACGCCCCCTAGATATAGGTAGGGCTCCACACATGAGGCGCCTGCACTGTCCTTGTCATCGGGGCTCCACCTCCAGCTCAACTTGCGAGGCTGTGAGTCGAGGTTCTGGATCCATAGTAGGCCAGGTTGAGAATCGGAGACGATCTCGGGGAAATTCTCGGAGGGCGTTCTATTGCGGAGCAGACTGCATAAGAGTACGCATTGCGCCGGGCTCGTGATGATGACGCCTTCTTGGTCATGCGATTGCGATCTGCAGGAGCTGTTACCCGTGCGGCCACGGAGCCTGGCCCTTTCTAGCCCGTTTTCGGTCCGAACCTAAAACGACGGTGTAGGCTGGTCTACGTCAACTTGTTTTCATATCGGCACGTCTAAGGATGAGGTGAATCAGTGGTCTGGTAACACAAGGTCCAGCGGAGTGGAGGCGTCTAACATAACCCAAATATAAGCCATGTAGTAAAGAATTCTACCACATACGACCATAGGGTGTGGAGAACAGGGCTTCCCGTCCGCTCAGCCGTACTTAAGCCACACGCCGGCTGGTTAGTAGTATGGTGGGTGACCACATGCGAATCCCAGCTGTTGTATGTTTTTGTTTTTGCTGCAAGCAAGGCAAGCCTCAGCATAGCAAGGTGGCACAAGAGGCCTTGAAATCCTTCATGTTTCTCATCTTTGCGGCTATCCTAGTTAAAGAGCAACCTATTCTTAATTGTGTCCCTTGTTGGTGCGTTGGGGTGGCGACGGGAAAAGGAAAATATATATATATACATTGCATGCCACTTGTATGATCATGGGAGTCGAACACGGTTTATAGCTGCCTGATCTCAGGCCATGCTGGCCCGCGTGAACATACGAGCCGATTACGGAGATAGTCCCGATCCCAGTGGATCCAGGTCCATACTATTACCATAAGTTGTCACCAAGAGCCTCCACCACATCGCACAACTCGTCCACCCTCCACACATCATCACGCCCAGCAATGCCGTCAAAAGAGCCTGGAACAATGCGTACAGAGTACAGTACAACGAGCCACCACTGCTCCAGATGGATAAACGTAAAATTCAAGGCGAAAATAAAACAAGTCAATACTACCATGCTGTAGGCCATTGACCTCATTGCAGCCCTAACTCTCGCCATTTTCGCGCACCGGGCACCGGGAACAAGACATTCAACACCGAGTGTCAATTCAGTGCGCAGTCAATCAAAGCCTGATGTGACCCTCCGCCACATCGACCGGGCCTAAACTATTATCCTATGCTAATGTTTGTAGATGCATGATGAAATACGGCAGTACCTAGGGTTTCAAGTGTCATTGACACGTCTGTGAAAACTCTATATATTGCAATAAAACAGCTTCACATTTCAACTCAGGTAGCCCGGATGGTCTAGTGGTATGATTCTCGCTTTGGGCCCACCAGTCTGATTTGCGAGAGGTCCCGCGTTCAAACCGCGGTTCGGGCCACTTCTTTTTTTTTTCCCTTTTTTTGTGACACCAGCACTTTGTCTGCTGGCATCCTTTTTTTTTTTTTTTTTTCGACCAAGCAAACAGCTGAAAGCCCCTACTTACATAGTCGAACTTGTTAATCGCCTGCATGTTGTTGTCATGTCCAGCATAGTCAACTGCTGCCATCAATATATTTCCACTCACCAGCTGTGACCGGCGCTTACTCCCTTTAATGCCAATAAAATAGATCATGCCTGTGTTACCGTGGATACTTATAACCTTGATGAAAGCTATGTACGTAAAGCTTATATGCCACTCATGTGACCACCGTGCGTCATGCCTGTGTAATCTAGTATGGCCGGGATGTCCAGCTATGTAGGTAACGTTGATATCATCGAGGCTATTCGTAGCCACAGAGGGGGTAAGATTAAGACTTTTATAAAGGATATTGTTCCGCTCCCGTGGTCTACCCGACACCTTAGTCCCTGTGTATATCTGCTGCCTCACGCTTAATATGGCCAAGAAGCTCCTGCTTTCTCTCCTGGCATTGACCCCGGCGGGCACTGCAGCCCAATGCCTCTCATCCTCCAGTGGCATCGGGCTTGCCAACTACGACCAATGCTGTTCAGGCCAGGCGAGCGCCAACGGCAGGGAGATATCCAACGGCGTCGAATACGACTATCACTGTGCATCCTGGATGGAGCCTGATGATGTGCGTATTCCAAATGTCATGAGTGCCCGGGATTGTGCACGACGCTGCCACAACAGCGCCTCCTGCGCAGCGAGCGCCTGGCATAGGTCAAACTGGTGCTATCTCAGCCCGTTTGCGAGCGATCTGGAGATGAAAACCCACCCAGAGGCGGACGGCTGGCTGGCCCTCCGCGAGACCCAGCCCAAACGAGACCCGGCCACCGTTCCGCCCGCCGGCTGCGACGCGTTTATCACGCAGTGCGAGGCCGAGAAGAAGACGGCCGAGGACGAACGCGATCATTATAAAGATCTATTGGACCGAGCCAGTAAGCCTTCCCTGTCGTTGATGTGCCCTTGACACCCAACTGCGACGATCAACAGTCTAATGTCCGAGCAAGACACCCAGGATCATATCTTCACGGCTGGAAACAAAAGGTTTAAACTCACCGGTGGTGCAACTGGTAAGTCGACTGCTATTGCTGTTTTGCTCCCGCGTCAGTCCGTTAACTGTACTCCCATAGCAAACGCCTTTGTGGGCAGCAATGCCAATATGAATCAAGGAAAAAATGTTCAGAACTTCCAAGAATGCGCGGACTATTGCGCAAGCCAGAACGAATGTGCTTTGGCTTTGATGACAACGTATAGTGCCCAGGGTCATTGTCAGCTCTTCCGCAATTCAGCCTGGCTTACGAAGACTGATAATATTCGCAAGAGTGTTCTAGCTGTTATCTGACACTTTTGGAACTTATCTGATGGCCTCAGCTCTGCAACAGAATGTATTTGTTTTGGATTGCACTTTGTACTTTCTTCTCGTCTAGCAGGATTTGAGTCACAGTGTATGCTACATGTATGCGATTGGCGTTCCCCGACGTAAACTTGATCCTTCAGCCTTGTGCTTTGATATAGGTGAATATGGTATCGTAGTAAACCTTGCATAACCTGGCGAACGCGGCCTGGTCTGGTCTGCAAGCGGGCCTCTGTAGAGATACAGCCCTAACTGACCCATACCTACTCTAAATAGGGCTCCCTTTTCCAGCAGATAATTCGCAGAAACATAAACAACTAAACCGATTCCTCCGTTTCAGTCACATTCCTCGAGCCCTTATACTCCCCTTCCATCTTAAGCACCTCAAAAAGCCCACGAAAGACCTGCTTCCTAAGCCCCAACCCCTCATCAATCCCATCGATACCGGACTGAATCAGCCGATGCGCCTTCTCCTCATAGTCACTAAAAACCCTCTCTAGATCCAACTCTTTATAAACCCCAATCACAGTCTCAACAGCCCCCCGCTCCTTCCTCCCGTAGTTCTCCAACAAAACGCCCTTCTGCCTCACATCCGCCCGATCCAACGCATGCATAATCAGCCAGCCGCATTTATTCGCCGCAATGCCATTCCCCGCTCCGTTGTTGCAGGCACGACTGTCCCCCTCGTCCCGAACGACATCATACACCTCGTTCCGGATCTGGACGTACAGCCCAATGGGCCCCAGGACGTCCCTGACCTGCGCCTTGTTCTGGCTCGTCGCGGTCTCCAGGTACTCCAGCGCCAATACAATCGGCATGTACCAGCTCGGATACGTGCCGCTATGCTCGACCATGAACTCGTATACCTCCCATGAGCGCGGGTCTGTGCCGACGGCCGCTATGTCCTGAGTCGCGGAGTACGTGTCGCTGACCTGCCCCATTGAAACGTTCATCTCGGCCTGCAGGAATAGTTCGAGTATGTTGGTGTACCGCGGGTGAGTGCGGAAGGTCTTTTTGAGGAGGGCGTAGATGAGCGGGCGGAGCACACCCGTGTCGTTCGCCATTCCAACCCCGCGTTGCATCCTCGGGTCGGAGGTGGTGGTGATCGAGTCCCGTGTTGGATACGCTGCGTGGAAGAGCGCGCAGAGCCAGCCGAGGAGAGAGAGCTCGGTGGTTTGGGACGCGGTTAGCGGGGTGCGGCTTGTTGTGCGTGCGGTGTAGAGGACTGTTTGGCCGGGGAGTGGGCTTGTTTTGTTGAGGGCCTCTGTAAGACACTAAAGACAGAGATATTAGTATGAACGAGGGACATAGGGATAGATGGGATGGGATGCGGGCAGGCTTACTGTCTGCATTATCTCGATGAATTGCGGCGCTAGGTTGCTGTCGGTCAGATACTCGGTTGCTTCGTAGATTATGTCGACTCTGGCGTCTTCGAAGTCGGCTCGTGCTTTGTCCATTGTTGTTGAGGTGGGATGGTGCGTCTAAAGGGTGGAAGGGTGGATGTTACTTTTAATTCTATCAGATGGGAGTGCTTCGGCTTGGGATTCAGAGAAGCGGGGGTGGCGTGTCTTTAAGTAACCCTAATCTCCTCTTACAACTGGAGGCTGGAGCTGATAACAGGTGAGTTGAAACGATTGGAGCATGCGGCATCTAGCTCTTGGTTCTGCCAACTTAATCTGTACTACCGGGCGGCTGAGGTCATTGGATGTTGAATTACGAACACGAGGTACCTTGGTTTGCACATATTATCGTTTGAGCGGATCAGGTTTGGCTCCGGCCATGGTATCCCGAGACCTGAGTTTCACTCTTACTACCTGCGGGCTTTTCATTGCATGGGTAATGGCAGGAAGATGGACCAGCAGGGGAAAAGCCGACGTCCCTCTCCAATGCCCTGTTGAACATGATAGGCCAGAAGGTAGATCAGAATAGATGTAAATGGATCCAGTATGTATTGTGAAAGTTTATCGATCTATCAGTTTAGATCCTACCATAGTATCAAACTCGAAGTACGTATGGTAGAACAAAGACTTGAACAATCCATCCATTCAACAAGAACAATAAGTGCGTATGATACTGGTGAGAACGAATTGGAACCATCACTTGACTTATGAGGTCTAGTACCTAGCTTACATTCTCTTTTCCCCAATAATCTCATTAGATACGAACCAAAGGGTGCTTGGGCTAGACCAAAGTAGCCCGATGATACCGTATGTCTGGTATAACTTAGGTTACGGCGAGAACTAGCCCTAACTAGATCCGCCCAAGTCCAAGGCTCCATATCCCCCGCCACTCCGCCGTATAAGACCATTGTTTACTTATTGCTATTTACTACCTGCAGTCTCCGTGGACTTATTAAAGAGGAAAACCAACAAAATGGCATCAGAAGACGACCTCAGCGTCCTCGACGTCCCCGAAATTGGCTTGCTCCCTTTCGACCATTATGTTATAGTTCGCCTCTTCTTCACTCCTAGTATCCTAAAACCCGGTCAAGACGAAGCAAGATACCTGTATTCGTGCTACTGATCCTAATAACGCGAATGATCCAGGCAAAATGGACCCAACCACCCCCCTCTCCACCACACAACAAACGAAACAGCTCGTTGAAGAATGGATCAGACTAGGCAGATACGAACGAAGATTACCCATCCATTCGCCCTGTCTTTCTCGCTCTATCTCAATTAGATAATAATACTAGATGCACAGCAATACCCGGCACAATCCCCATACCGTCGAAATCCCCCGCACCGTCCCTCAATCCCTCCTAAGTCCCAACGAACGCGCCCATAACGGACAGATCGAGCACGCTCTTTATTCGAACGTGATACGGCCACTCCAATAATCCAGAAAGCCTGGAGAAGGCAGACGAGGACCATGCGCGTTTAGTTGAAGTTATTTCGTCCGAGTATGGGGCTGTGGCTATGAGGCTGTGATGGATAGATTCTCTATTTTCGACAGATGAGAATGAGTTTCCATCTTTGCTCTCCTATCTACTCAGTCAGAGGAAGATAGTAGGGATGATGAAAACTCCGATTGGCGTCGCGTTCCCAGACCGGGAAATATACTATCGTATGCCGTGGCCAGATTGACGCACTGCCCTGACCAGATCAGATCGACGGGATTCGCGTTGAAAGCCTCCATGATTACCTCACAGGCTCTTATACGGAGGAGGTAGAGGGACGCCAGATGCTCTTTGTGCTCGTTGCGGATCGCACGGCGTGCGAGATGGGGCGGGTGCGGAATCTGGGCATTAACCACAGGGGTCAACCACGTTCTTCCTTTCCGGATCGGGGACGGAGGGACCGGGTTCTGCTACTTATGCATATTGATGTTATGGGCACTAATTGAGTGGGAATGCAAGGAGTTTTGAGGAGGATGTGGATTGTGGAGGTGTATGTGGATGAAGGGGGTGGCCGGTGGACGGGATTGATACTCTGGGCACTATCTGTTTACTTTCGAATTGCTTTACCGCCGTTCAAAAGGCACATTATTCTTCTTCTGATCTTGGCTGTGATTGAGTCTGACTGCTAACACCTAAATGCTGCCCTAGCCTAATACGCTCGAGTCGAACTTGACATACCCCTTATCCTTCACAAACGTCGCAAGCCAGGGCACCTCGCCCTCATGGCTCGCCAGCTGGGCAAAGAACTCAGCATGAGCAGGCCCGTCAATTTCATACCCCTTTGCCTCGCCCGAATCAAGGCGCTCGTCGGCGTAGAAGAATCTGCACACGCACATCAGGTATTAGCCGGACTCTCTCCCATCAGATCATATCCAGTGCTAAACACCCAGACACCAGCACCCATGCCGCACTGAAGGGTGAAGGACATGTACACACCTATACCCCTTCTCGCGATACAACGCATCAGCAGCGCCAACCCAATACGCACTAGCCGACTTCCCGACCCCAAGATCCAACCACCCCGCCACCGGCGCAACAACCGTATTCAGCGCGTTCCCCGTGTAAATAAACGTCTTCTTGACGCCTTCCTCAGCGGAGAGCGCCTCCCACCCCTCGACAGCCTTCTGCGCCGCCACATACGCGCTGACCGTATTCACATTCAGATCGCGCACGAAGTCGTCCGCTGAGATCGACAGCACGCCGGCACCCTCTGCTGGCTCGGTCAGGCGGTACGCGTTGTATACGACCACCGCGGGGGCTGCGCCGAATGTCGCGCGCACGGACTCGAAGATGCGCGGTATTGAGGACGGGTCGGCGAAGTCGGCGGTTAGGGAGAGGATGCCCTCGGGGGTGTTGTTGCCGCTGCCGCTGCGCGAGGCCGTTGCGACTTTGTAGCCCTTTGCGGCGAAGGTTGCGGCGACGGAGGAGCCGATTCGGGGGCCTGAGCCGAGGATTAGGGCGATGGGGGCGGGCATTGTTGGGTGTATTGTACTTCGGCGAAGGAGGTGCGGTTTGATGCTGCTTGTTGGGTTGACGATGACTGCAATGAAGTAGAGCGGATGGTAGGTAGCTTGAGGCGACGGGGTCATGAGCTGCTTTTTATACCTTGATTGGCGCCCTTGCTTGCTGCAGCACAGAGGTCATGGAGGTCATGCCCATGCCTCGAAGGGTTAGTACCTAGCTACCTAGGTAGGTAATGGAAGCAGGAAGATGCTAGGATACGGTACTTAGATACCATTTGTCAGCAGGAACTAGCCAAGGCATTTCTAAGCAGCTGTGCTATGAGCAGCTGGGGGAGCTTACGAGTTGGAACCAGAACACCAGGTGCTGTTCCTAGGTACTGGGCCCTGCGTTGACCACTCAACAACCACTCTATTTGATCCGGAATACTGAAAGTTTGGACGGATAGACTGATTCAGCCGAACGTGTGGTTTAGCATAGATCGCTTAGATAGTTCCTCCTAGCGCCCGATAATATATTAAGCTGTTTGCACTATGCCTAGCTTGGCCGCCATTCGGAGACTTTGGCTGGCTTGGCCGTCAGCACTAAGCAACGAGTACCGTACGAGAGTACGTGCTAGTACTAATTGATTGCTTTCATCGGCATAACCCCGGTCGCTAGAAGCAGGCCGAAGATTGCGGACAGAGCGAAAGTTTATGCTTCAATGACTGCAGCAGGCCAATCGTTGTAATTCTCATCGGGAGTTCTGTAGGGCCCATAGTGCACGACGCTGCCTCGATCATTATGCGCAAAGGGGATACCGTGCTTGATACGCGAGATGACATCCTGATCAAAGCACGGTTAGCTATTGCGAGCCCAGGTGATAGACTGGATATTCAATATACTCACAGGGTTACAGATAAACGCCCTTGCAAAGGATATGAGGTCAAGTTTACCCTCGCTGACCAAAGTATCCGCCTCCTCAACGGTATAATCGTAGTTTGCCATCAGCAGGGTCGGGCTACCGGGGTATTTGACCAGCGGGCCGAAGTCGAGGACAGGGTCGTAGCCAGCAGGTAAAGGATACCCTTCCGGCCTCTGGGCCTTCCCGGCACTGGTATCTGCACCGCGGCGGGTGATGTTGATGATCCCCACTTTGCGTGCGACGAGGGCTTTGATCAGATACGTGTATGTCTCTTTCATTTCGTCGAAGGTCACGACGGAGTCGTTGTAGATGTCTGTTGGGTCTATCTTGACGCAGATGGCCTCTGGACTGCCGAATACAGAGCTGAGGGCGTCGACGAGCTCGAGGGTAAAACGGCATCTGTTTTCGACGGAGCCGCCGTAGACGTCGGTTCGTTTGTTGGCGCGGCTGTGGTTGGTTAGCTTGTTCTATGCAAGGTGTTTGATGGACACATACGAGTTGAGAAACTGCTGGGGGAGGTATCCACTGCATGCAAGAGAATATTGTAAGTATGAAGCCTGCTATTGACAAGGAGTATATAGTTACCCTTGCGCCAGCAGCTCGACACCGTCAAAGCCCGCCTTCTTAGCCAGCATGACTGAGTGCCGGTACGTTTCGATGACGTCCCGAGGATCCTTAATGGCTTGGATATTATTTGTATGCCCCTATATGGAGATGGACGTAATCAGTAAGGAAAGTAGCACGAGAGAATCAGAGACACTCGTACAGGACAGCCCGGAATGTCACGGTATTTCCCACCTTCAGCCTTAATCCTTGACGGTGCTAAAACAGGTCGATCCTTTTCCAGCATGATTGGCATTTGGTCATGCTGTATGCGGCCTGCATGCCACGCCTGAAAGAAGATCTTCCCTCCTTCTTCGTGCACAGCATCAGTTACCTTCCGCCAGGCATCAGCGTGGCTCTCGTCAATCATGACGGGCGAGTGCATCCAGTCGCAACCAGTCCAGTCCACAAAGGTTCCTTCGTTGATGATAAGGCCGACGCCGTGTCTGGCTCTGTCGGAGTAGTGCTTCACTTGCGCAGGGCCGGGTTTGTTGTTGTCGATGCAGCGGTTGCGGGTCATCGAGCCCATCACCACACGGTTCCTCAGGGGCAGCTTATCGCCGATTGTAACGGGCTGTAAGAGGCTTGCCATGGTGAGTTGTTTGAGGTTGTGGAAGCGTTTGAGAAGTGGCTTTCGACTGCTTTGAATTGAGGATTGGGACTGATGCTGGGGGGAGTAGGTGTGCCTTATATGCTTTGTGCCAGGGCCTTGCCATCGTGGGTGATTAGAAATGCTTAGAAAAGAAAAGATCCCGGCTATCCATGATCAAGCAGGTATCCAGTTCGTAGAGAGACAGAGACGGTGCTCTAGGAGTATGGATGTCGGAGATGCGCATTGTCGACCACTCACAGTGTCGTAAATCCGCAAGTGGGGCCGGTGAGGGCTCAACTCCTCCAGTAAGAGTTTGTCATTTCCGAAGCGTCATCACCCCATTCCGCACTGCAGCTCTTCTCCCTCTTACAAGTTACAACAAACCGGTTCGAAAATGAAGGCCCCAAGAGCATGCCATCAATGCCGGCTCACCAAGCGCAAATGCAACCGACACGGACCAGGCGAGCCTTGCAAGCCATGCCAGCTGAGAGGAATCAGCTGCAGTGCGGAGTTGCGACGGCAGGTCGTCAGCACAGAGCCAGTCCGGCGCGAGACACAACGTGAAGAGCCTCCTAGACAAGGTCAAGACCAGGACTTGGCCCCGCCCTGCTTGTCCTGGTCTATGACTGTGGAGTTTGCCGAGCTATACCTAGACAAGATCCACGATCGAGCCCACAGCATTTTTCACCCAGCGACGCTGCGGGCACAGCTTCGGAATGGCACCGTGGGAAGAGCGTTGCTGTGTGCCATCTGCGCGCTTGGGTCCAAGTTCTCGTCGTATCCCGACCGCCGGTCAATGGAGGGACGCCTGACAGCCGAGGCAAAGCGGTTGCTGCAGGCGGACATTGATAATATCTGCATCGAGAACATACAGGCGTGCATCTTAGTCGCCACGCTAAGCGCCGGAATCTGTGAGTGCACTTTAGGAGCACTCTTTACTCGAATTGCCATTTCCATGGCTGAGATCATGAATCTTGGCTCCCCGATGGACGGCGATAGTTCGGCTTCCATCATTGCCAAAGAGACTGCCCGACGAGTATACTGCTCCCTATACGTTGCGGACTCCTGGTGTTCGTCTGGACTTGGTTTGGCCCGGCATATGGACAAGCCCAGCCTCAGCACATCGACATCATGCGATCTCCCAATGGACGAAGTTACGTTCCACTCTCTCCAACCCAACCAGAGCGATGATCAAGCCACGCTTCGACTCCGCACTCTTGGGCCCTGGAAGCCAGGTCTCTGGGCTCACATCGCAAGGCTAACCCGTTTTTCCGGTCCGATACAGGACCTAAACCGCCAGTATGCCAACGACTGCACAAGGACTGCCGCTTTGGACGAGACCGTTGGACATATGGCGCAACAGCTAGAAGCATGGAGCGAAGCCCTTCCAGCCGACATAGGGATGAGTGTGCAGAACCTGCATGCCCAGCAACAGAGGGGCCTAGGCGGTCCCTTTGTCGCCTTGCACTTGATGTACCACCACTACTCGACGCTTCTGTATTTCCGATTCCTAGAGGACCAGGACCGGCAGAGGTCTTCATCTCCGGCGTCCAGTTCACACACAGACACTTATATCGCCCGCTGTAAATATCACGCTCTCTCGTTTAGCGGTCTGCTAGGCTTGTCCCGTCAGCTAAAGGGCTGCGAAGTTAACTGCCCGACCATCGGGCATATGGTCACCGTCTCTTCATCCGTTTTGGTTCATACTCTGCTCTTAGGCAACGAACCATCGGAACTGGACAGTGCGCGCCGCGCACTCAACGCAAATTTCGAGGTCCTGGTTGGCCTGTATCAGTTCTGGCCAGCTACGGAAGCAATGGTAATACTCCGGCGCTGATCTGACGGTAGAACATAGCCTACTAACTTTGTACTGCAGATAAACAGACTCATGACATTCCAGAACATCTGCCTCTTATCGACTGACGAAACTCACAGACTGGATGGATGGATGGTGCGGTTCTTGTTGGAGCATTCGCGCGCTCTGGGTCAGAGGAAGTTGCCTTGCGCACCGGAGAACTTTAATATAGGCCTCGGAGCAGGATCCGAGGCCATCTTGTCGGAGAAAACCAGGGAGTGGAGGGGTTTGGGGAGATATATGGATTTAAGTCTTCCTGGCGGCGGCGGGAGAGAGGAGTAACAGGGAAACTTCATTATATTGGGAGTCTGACGCAGCCTTGGCGCCGCCCTCTGGTGCAATGATTTTGTTATTTGAAGACGTATCTGAATGCTATATAGATGATGCAGACAGGTGAGGTTGCATGCTCGAAACTGGTCTCCGGACATGGTACCGTACCAAAATGGGCTGGGACTGACAGACGGGATGTCTACGTTGGGGCCTTGGGAGATACCTGCGATTTGGCTTCATGGAAACCTATGAGGTCAGAATAAGCATCACGTGAACACAAGCAGCTAAGAGGCCGGACAGGTCAGTAGAGGGGTCACTCTCGAAGGCGATCTATACGAGGATGGCCAGGGGAGGGGGGCTGGCCGAGTCTTGGACCGGCTGTTCGAGACACCACTTCTCGTCTGAGACCTAGTTGCATGTCACCTCGCTGATGAATAGTACTCATCAAGAGATGCCTAGATAGCCCAGCAAATCTCTGAGGTTCGCGCTGGTTGCTTCGCGCTCTCCCTGAGAGACTCCCTCTAGGGTTGATAGTGGCTGCATGATAGCGTCCAATGGCCAACAGATACCGAAGAAATGGAAGATTGAATGGCAAGCATATGGACAACTTCGATGATGAGAAGCTCGATCACAAAGCTGTCGCGATAAGAAAAATGATGAAATGCGAATAGATTGGGACCCTTTCCGAAGCCGTGATGGACAGGTATAGATTGAACTAAGCGCCGCGAGGACGTCATCGTGAGAGGCGGGATAAATAAAAGGTGGCGTAAATAGCCTCATGACCGGAAAGGCCGAAAGGATTGAACAAAGAATGGAGAGGCCAGATGGCTTTCCAGTTATTCAGTCGTGGTTGACGAAGTTCGATGATGTTGGCATCAGACTCAAGATGGCCTCATGGACCAGGAAAAAAGATGAGTCATCTGATATCGCATGGTCAGTACAAAAGAGGGGTAAGCAAGACACCGGAACCTTGTGTCGATTTGATGGCAGTATAAGAAGGGGCGATGGCTCTCGATTTCGCTGGTCCAGTTCAACCTCCCACCCGGACGTTGCGAGTCGCAGCTCGAGTCGCGTCACGTGTAACGCGTCTGCTTAGTCACCTGGCCTGTCACGTGTAGCGCGTCAGCAAAACCCAGTTTGCCGTGTTTGTTGCGGCCCCATACGCGGATCGATCGGCGGTCACGTCGCGTAGCTTCACGTCTTCGTCTTCTGCAAGGCTTCGTCTTCAATCTCTTCCCATTCACTCCGTCCTCTTCCCCCCAACCTCTCCTGCGTCCCTGCTTCCCGAGCTGCAGCGCTCCGACGTGTCGAATGAAGAAGAAGAGAAAGATTGCCATTCCCCCTTTCTAGCTTCTTCACCGCATCCTCCTGCTCGACTTGCTTTGCAGCTTCCTCGTCCCGCGTTTGCATTCCGGACACCTTCGCTGCAGACTCTTCGTGCATACCAACACAACCACTGCCTCTTTCCAGGTCGACCGGCCTTCAATTCGTCCAGACCGATTGTACGATAAGACACTGCGGGCATTGGTCATACCTTGCTTCGCTTTCGTCGTTCAACCTCGCTGTCGTGGAACAATTCTCACTCATTCATCCCACGCCCCTCACGTCCCTTTCTCTCCTCTCCAGCGGGGACTAACACAGACAACCTTCGTTTACTTATTCTTTTGAAAAACTCGGTTATTGCTTATGAAAAGGACCTACCATCTGGTGGGATGGAATCTCAGGACGGAATCTCCGTCCGGCCTATGAGGCGTAAGTTAATTCTCTGTTCATGCCTAGAACGTACTGACGTGGACTCGGACTCTAGTCAAGGTCCTCTATACGTTCGATAACGATAGTAAGACCAATTGCTTAGCCCGATGGCCCCATCTCCTCGATATCCAGACCGCCGCCCTCGATGAGAAAACACACATTGGAGTGATCGAGCTCAAAACCTGCATTCAAGCCATTGTCTCTGCCAGGTAGGTGCAATGGTTTGGCAGTGCTTTGCGATGTGTGCTAACTAGGTTAGTCCGGAATTGGTCGCTCAACTGGGTCGGGATTATACCGTCTACGCCTACGACTACTCCGAATATGAAACACCCCTCGTCGGGCAAGGGATGCTGTCATGGGTTCTCGCTTCGTCTTCTCCGACCCCGAACGCACCGGCACACCAGTCGAAGACAATGGTAACTGGACGGGTCTGCAAGAATGTGTTGGGTCTATTTTCGAAAGGCGCCCAGGAAACGCTCGAGGTCAAACTGCGATTGGTGCCCGTCCCGACCGCGTTGCAAAGTGAATACTTGGACAGCATGCAGAAGTACCGGGAGCTCAGCAATGTCATCCCCCACGAGTTTGACGCACAAGCCTGGACCGATTTCCTACGCCAGAATCCCGAGTTAATGGCGTCCACGTCCCAGCAAATTGTCCAGGCCTCGTCTCCAGTGGACCATGCAGGGATCGAAAGATTTCACCAGATTCTCAGCGCAGGCTCTACGCCCAGGGAGATTATGCCAATGCCGGCGCATCCTCCATACCGAACAACGTCACCTACTCAGTCCGCTCTGAGCACTGCAAGCCGGGTCCAGACGCCGGCAAGTCAGTTCCAGATTCAACAGCAGGAACAGCCCGCATCACGCCCGCAACCCTTGGAACGGAGCCAGAGTGATGTGATCCGCCCTTCATCTAGTGCTTCCATGCGTGATGCCGATTTCCATGCTTATACGAGGTCCAACGCCCGCAGGGATTCAATCCAATCCGGGTATGGTAGCTGCGATGATTCTTCCGAGCAGCAGCCCAGAAAAAGGGCAAAGCTGTATCGAGCGGAGGCTCCTGGCAAGAGTGATCTGAACATTGAGAGACAACCAAGTTCTCTGAGAGTGGCCGCCAGCACCGCAGCATCCGTTCGCATCCATCGCCCCACGCCAATCAACCCTCTCTTTACTGCAGCCCAGAACTCGAACGAAGAACCCGTTCGCCCGCCTACCCCTATTTCCGACATGAACCATCCGCCCCGTCGCGCGCGCCCTCTTCCAAGCCTCCTCCGCGAGTCTTCGACGCAGAGCAATGCCCTCGGCACTCAATACAACTCGCCATATGCTATGAGCGATGATCACCCCTCCGTGGACCCGACTACGACATCGCCCGAAGAGTCCCGATACCAAGGCTTATTCGAACCATCTTTCGCCATGCCATCCTCGCCCCCGATCCTGGACCACGCGTTCCCGGCTAGGTCCAGCCCGGTCCTTCCACCCATGACGGCTGACTTGGATTCCGGGTTCATGAGCGCCGGCATTGACGACCTTCTGGATGACGAGCTCTGCCCACCACTCGACAGCAGTGCGAAGCCACTATCAAAGAGCCAGAACAAGCCAGCACTGACTGTTCGTTCTGCTGTTCAAGCGAGCTCCCCTGTCAGCGCCATTGGATTCCCAGAAGACCGTGTCATTGAGATCGCCGATGACCAGCCTGAGAACGTTCCTGCCACCGTCATCGAGATACCAGACAGCCGGCCTGAGAATGTTCCCGTCACCAGTGTCGAGGTACCTGCTTCAAGTCGTCCTACCAGCGAGATTCCCACGGAGCAGCAGCAGCAGGTTAAGGCGCCCCCGGTTGCGATCCCTCGCGCTCCTAGAGCCTCTACATCACGACCTTCTTCACGTGCTAGTATGAGGCAAACGCCCAAGCCGCTAGCCCCGGCCCCTATCTCCCAGAGTGAATTGGAGCAACTTCTTAGCGCAGTCCCCGAAAGCGACCCCGTCTTGCCTAGTGATGGCGCCACCGCAAAGACCCCGGCTCCGACCACCGGCAATGAAGATGGCAAGCCCCGCAGCGGCACTGGTGCCCGGCGATTAAAGCAGGTTAAACAAGTTCAACTACGCCTTGAGAGGTGCATTCGCGAGGGACAGGCGCCGCCGTACTGTGAAAACTGTGGCGCCATTGAAACTCCCACTTGGCGTAGAGCTCACTCCAAGATCTTCGAGGGCAGCGAGGAAGACGCCAACCAGCACACCAAAGACCCTTTGGTATTCTTCTGGCAGCCCGTCGAGAAAAATGAGCAAGGACAAGTCATCAAGTTCAAAATCTACAAGAAGAAGTTGACCGATGAAGAGAATGACTTTGCACTGGTCCTGCTCTGCAACCGTAAGTCCCGCATCCTACTATTGGTCTATGCATACTAATCATTTCGCAGCTTGTGGTATCTGGCTCCAAAAGTGCAAAAGCATGCGCCCCGAAAACAAGTGGAACAAGGCTAGTTCTAGTTACGAGAAGAGAAAACGAACTCGCAGGACGCGCAAGGATGGTGGTCCGCTCTCGACTGCCAAGGGCCCAGGCGGCCGCGGCGCAAGCGAGCCATCCAAGCCGGATGCTTCCTCGCCTGGTGTTTCCGACGCTTCAACTCCGGCAGCCGATGACGATGCTACCCCCGGTGCCGACAGCGATGCCAACAAATCGGGCGATATGGCGGAACAAAAGAATGACGATTCCCAGCAGCCGGCAGCAAAGCGCCGTCGCGCAAACAGTATGGAGCCTCGGAAGTCGTCTGACAAGGCTGGAAGCCGCTGGCAAGAGGGCGATGCAAGAGAAGCGCTTCGGCGGGCTATCCAGTCTAGTCCTGCCAAAAACCTTGCAGGTGGCAGTGCTTCAGCCCCGGGTGAGCGAAATCTGCCTCCCAAGCCAGTGAGGAGAGTATTGTTTCCTAATTCACAGAACGAGGGGGGTCCCTTGAAGGCATTAGGCGAGTCAGTCTTGAACAGTCCTAAGCGAAGCTCGCGCGTCCCCGTCCAAGAAGCGAACAAGGCCCCTGGCGAGAAAGAAAACCAGACTGCGAATGACCTGGACCGTCTTTTCGAAAGTCCCTCGTTCGAGTTCGAGCTCTGTGCCAGTCCCACTCCTAAGCGACGCAACCAGCGTCTGACCGCTACCGACAAGCGGCACTCACATCCTTCTGTCTCTCCAGCTGCCAAGTCTCGACGAGATGGAGCGCTGGATACTACCCCCACTCGAACCTCTGCTCGTCGCCTGCAGCGCGTTCAGAGCAGTCCCGGGTCGGTGCCTCACCTGAACCGAACACCTGGGCGATCTCGATCCCTGATCCCCGACCTTCCCACAATGTCAGATGACATCTTTGGCACTGCCGCATTCCAAGGCATGGACGAGATGATGGTTGATATCTTCTCCGACAATGCGGCCATTAACACGGACCCATTGTTTGGGCTCGACTCTAGAAATATGCCAAACGCCGACTGGCCTGATTGGCTCCCTTCAGATCTTTCACCTACCAAGTCGGTTGGGAACCAAAACAACGATGATGCGGACATCATCAACGCACTTTTCTCCGATCCCGATCTCGGGAAGGACTTGTTCCAGTACCCCGACCCGCGCACACTTGACTCTGGCTTCTTTAGCTCGGATGCGCTCCAGGCGGATGGAATGACCCTCGAGAAAACAGATGCATCCAAGGACCAGGCCACCAGCACGGGGCAGGTCTAGGTCATCATGCGTTACGAATTTATTATTTCGTTTATTCCATCTCGGCACCCTTTTTCCTGTTTCTTAGCGATGGCGTTATGGACTTTTCTCAGGATTATACCACAGTGGCTCTCAAGGGCTTTATGGGTGACGGCATTTTCAATCGTTTATTTTCTTTCAACAGCTTGGAGGATTGGGCTAGGACGACTCTGTTGATTTTATCGAGTCAAACACATTGAGTAGTTAGTTAATGAAATAAAAACAATATATATCATACAACCTTTACATTGTAAAGCTTCTAAAATAACATGGCACGAGGAGTCGAATCGAGAGCTTATAATTCATAGAGCATGGTATTTTCCGTCATAGGAGCAGTTATGTCAAGTTCATGTCCACGTTGGCCCTTGGCCAATTTGCACTAGTATCTCCCATCCGCACTTGCTTTTCTTTCCTCTTTATCTGCCGCAAGGGTATAAAATTGACGGCAACCAACGCTGCTCGGCACGTCTGTTCGGTGCGTCCGCTCGCCAGAGGACATTTCCCGTTTCGCTTCGATGATTCATCAAGACGACAGGCCAATCCATCACAATATCAGCACGAGTGAATTCAAATCCAACCGAATCGTATTTATTCCGCCGAGTCATAAAAGACAGGCTTAAGCCGATGCGTAACATCAACAACCTTCTCATAGATCTTGTAGTCTGTCCAATCCACACACCATTAGCCACCACATCTCCACTTTCCGAAAGTACATGTACATACCGCAACTAGCCGGATTGCCCCAATCCGTCGTCGCCAACACCCGGATCCCAAGCCCGCCCTCCGGCATCTCCGCAACCTTGCCCACAACCTCCACGAGCTTCCCCATCTGCAGGTGCGAGTCGGGCTTTAGGATCAGTGTGACGTCGCCGTGTGTGCCGCAGGTTATTGTTGCCGTGTCGCCGCGCAGGGCGGACACTGTGCCGAGGAGTCGGACGGGCGGTGCGCTTCGGGGCCCGGACGGGCTGAAGGCGTGCAGGTGGGAGGGGAGGACGCGGGGGGTTTGGAGGGACATCTTTTTTGACGGAAGGATCGTAGTTCGGCGAGTCTGGAGGGTTGGAAGGTGGGTGGATGGTGCTGCGAGGAATATGGGGAGATGTGTTCGGTTGTATGCACTGGGTGGTGGTTGGAGATTGAGGGGATCTAGGCGCGCACGCGGTGACGCGAAAGCACGTGATGCCTCAAGTGCTAGGCTAGACCAGACCGCCTTGGCGTTATCGGGTCCGAGATTGAGATTGGGATATGCGCCTCAATGTCATAGCTCGATTTTTAAAAAACGACATTTATGCGTTGCGTTTCGCACTCTTTTCGCGGTCATATTTCAGCTAATATTGATACTGGAATTTGTATTCCGGACGCATGGCCAAGTAACTGAATCAACCTCCGCCCTCCGTTAATACCTTCCGCCGCCCGCAGGCTACCTAGCACCCGCCTCACCTCATCTCATTCCAACTTCAAAACAGCAGTCCGCCAAAATGCCGCCTCCCTTCCCAACCACGCACCGCGGGATGACCAAGAACCCGCAACGGCCGGCGCGATACCGACCTGGGAAGGCAGTGCCAGAGGAACCCTCGTCCGAAGAAGAGGAAGAGGAAGAGGAGCAGGACGAGGAAGAAATCCGGCGGGAACAAGAGCGGAAAAGACTCGAGCAACAGAGACGAAAACAAGCGGCACCAAAAGCGACGTCATTTCCCGGGGCGAAGGCGGTTACACAAGGCGTGAAGGACGTGAAGATTCAGCAGGAAGAGAGTGATGAGGAGGGGTTTGTCACGGATGAAGAAGACGAGGGTGAAGACAGTACGCCTGCTGCTGCGCCTCGTGAGGCGGGGGCAGGACAGATAGCGGAGCCCGCTGCGAAAGAAGAGGAAGACGAAGAAGAGAGTGAAGAAGAGGAAAGCTCCGAAGAAGAAAGCAGCTCCGAAGACGAAGCGCCCAAGCGCGTCCTCCTGCGCCCAACCTTCATCAAAAAAGACAAGCGCGGCAGCGCCCCAACAGACGCAAGCACCAGCATCGCCGACTCAACCGCCGAGTCCGAAGCGCGCAAAGCCCAGCGCCAGGAAAAAGCCGACGCCCTGGTCCGCGAGCAGATCGAAAAAGACGCCATCGCACGCAGCTCCGCAAACAAAGCCTGGGACGACGACGAAGCAATGGCAAACGAGGAAGCCGAAATCGACGACACAGACAACAAGGACCCCGAGGCCGAGTACGCGGCATGGAAACTCCGCGAGCTGAAGCGCATCAAGCGCGAGCGCGAGGCCATCGAAGCCGCCGAGAAAGAACGCGAGGAGGTCGAGCGCCGCCGGAACCTCACCGCCGAAGAGCGCGAGCGCGAAGACCAGGAGTTCATCGCGAAGCAGAAGGAGGAGCGGGATGCGACGCGCGGCCAGACGGGGTTCATGCAGCGGTACTTCCACAAGGGGGCGTTCTTCCGGCCGGATCTGGAGAAGGAGGGGCTCGATAAGCGGAATGTGATGGGGGCGCGGTTCGTCGACGATGTCTCGCGCGAGACGCTACCGCAGTACATGCAGATCCGGGATATGACGAAACTAGGGAAGAAGGGACGCACGCGGTACAAGGATCTCCGGTCTGAGGATACGGGGCGCTTTGGCGATGGGTACAGTAATCGGCGGCGCCAGGATGCGCCGGTGGGGATTACGGACGAGCGCTTCATGCCTGATCGTGGGGATGCGGGGCCTAAGGGGCCTACTGGTGCGAATGCGTCTGTTGTTAGGCAGAGGCGTAGGTCTAGGTCGCGGTCTAGGTCGCGGTCACCGAGACGGGATCGAAGACGGGATCGCAGTGACAGTCGGGATGGGCGCAGGGACCGCTCTCGCTCCGGGGATAGATATCGACCTGATACGAGCAGTCGCAGGAAGAGGAGCCCTTCGCCTTATGATGATCGAGATAAGAGGAGGCGCATGAGGAGTGTCTCTAGGTAGTTGCTGGTGTAGTTCTACGGCGTTGAGGTGTACATTAAGCATTGGGGCCCGGGTCGCATGACATATATTGCGTATAAAATCTTGATCATGTCATTTTCATTTGGGAAGCTTGTGGTGCTTCGGGTATCTTCTGCCATACGTTGCAGATATTCGGTATCTATTGCTTTTGGCCCTTCGCCCTCTGTTCCTTCACATTGGCGGGGATTGTACCGCCATTCTCGAGCGAGTCTATCCCATATCCAACCGCATCATCGACTGGCCGTTACAAGGCCTATTAAGCCTGCAACAACGCCAGCAATTTCCGACCACGATTACACAGCTACTTCACCAGCTTAGCAGCTTGCGTTCATCAACCCGCCTATTTCACGCCCGCCCGCTCCAACACCTTCTCCCTCTCCATAACACTCTCCCCAAACCGTAGCAGGAAGATCGTCCGACTCGGCCACAGCTCCGTCGGCTGATTATGCGCCGTAACCTTCGCCTCAAACCCACACCCATCACAAACACCCTCGATGATCCCCGCCACGTACGCCGCGCAGTTGAGCTGGTTCATCTCCTTCGGCACGCTGATATACGAGTTGACAAGCGGGTCGTTGTCGGTAATCATGTACTCGTTCGGCGTGTCCGGTGAGACGGAGTGCTCGAGCGCGTCGGCGGGTCTGTTGAAGAGGAGCCGCCAGAGCGGGCCGTGGATGAGATGGAGGAGGGGCAGGATGCGGAGCGGGCGGTTAGGCGGGGATGCGGAGGTTGAGGAGCTGGAGAGGGCGGAGGAGGAGCTGCTGGACATTGTGCGGTAGAAGAGGAGGTCGAGGAGGCGCAGGCCGAGCGGGTAGCCTTGTTCGTTTAACCTGGACTCGTTAGCGCCCTTCACCACGCCAGGAGCGCGGTGGGCTCACCGTCTCTCCAAGTCCTGTATACCCGTCACCCGTCTCTGGGCGTATGTGACCATTTCGCCGAACAGGAAGGCGAAGCTGGCGCGGCTGGACTCGGCATTCCGGCTGCGGTTGAGGTGGCGGTCGTAGATTGTTTTGCGGTTGGAGGGGACGCGCAGGCCTGGGTTTGACTGGGTTGGTGTTTGGAGCTGTGGTTGTGGCGGGACTTGCTTCTCGCTTGGTGTGACTGTTTGGGCGCTGCTGCTCGTTGAGAGCATGGAGGAGCGGCGCGGGGGGTGCGACATGGTGCGGTGGATTGGTGGAAGGATGGCAGTTGACTGGTGATATGTGAGGGCGAGATCGGTTCAATTGCGGCTTATGCGGCGGTCATGGTGGGTTATGTGGTTCTTGATGGTCGTTGACTTGTTGTTGAGCCGGAGTAGATTGGCGGAGACGGAGGCTCGCGCTCAACAGAGCACGTGACACCCAGCGCCGAATGGGGCCAAGTCCGACTCTTGAGTCTCAACCAATCCCTTTCCCATCACCCATGCCACTAGACAGGGCAAATGCACCGCCATGGCCAATATTCCACCACCGGCTACGCGCTACTGGACACGGCGTACTGTGGCCTGATCATAGAGTCTAAGCGGTCGGCTATTTATTGTTGGCAGCGCCCGCTGGGCTGCGCTTCTTGACACTAACATCACAGGCATTCGTCACTCAACTCAACCACGATCCTGCACACCTAGCAACTTAACGATGATGTGGCTATACCGTCTACTCACCGGGAAGAGCTCCGAGGAAATCGAAGCCCAACGGCAGAAGAAAAAGCGAGCTAAGGAGCGTCGACGCCGCAGACGGGAGCTTCGCGCGCGGGAAGGGGGCTCGTCGAATAAGTTCAGCGCAGCGCGGCCGTTTATGGGATTCCCGGGGCAGACGTGGAAGCCTTGATGGACGGATCGCTTGTCTTCGACTCCGTCTACGTCGTCCTTTGACTGGGTAGATTCGAGGACTTCTGAGATCAGGCCGCCAGAGATACCGGATTCACCCGTGGACGTTCATCAGCGACAGGATCACTTTGCGATCACCACAATTAACATTTGAACGACCGAATCTTGTCGGTCATTATTGACGTGAAAATTATCGTCAAGAACAAACTTCATGACTGGACGGCGCACGATCCCTTGGTGGGAGCTCCCGATGATTGGATGGCCTCGGACATTCTTCACCCATGTTGGTTAAGGTAGAGCCATGCGATGGAAAGGGCTCACTTTCAACAAAATTCTCTACTATTCTACCCTATCAGAGTTCTTGGGTCGCCGAATGTGCGTTGCTGCAAATGCCTGGGAAGAACATCCGACTCCATCGAAACGAACCAAAACAGTCTCCAGGTAAACCCTCCTACCACGAACGTCCATTGAAAACGCGATCTGAAACTTGATCGGGGTCGTCTTCAATCCTCGCTTGCACTACCGTTATAGCCCGTTTCGCAAAGCGAAGTCAACCATGAACGCAACAACTTCCTCACGTATGCCCCGTGGAATCTTTCGTCGTTCTCTTTCCGGTCGTGTGGCCTTTTCAACCAAGGACTTGGCGTCAAGATTGAATGCGTGGCGCAGACCGATTACCGTCGCCGCTGGCCAGTCGGGCAATAAAGTGTACCTCCCATTCACACCGGAAATCACCTATATCTCTTCGGAAAAAAATCGATGAGGTCTAGGCTTTCGGTGGACGTGCAATGCAAGCCGTGCTACATTGGTTTCTGCGGCCGCCTCGGATATCGACGCGACAGAAATTGCTACGAGCTCTACAAGCGACGGAGAAGGCCCGGATTCAGAAGACAACCTTCGCACGGTAATTCAATCCCAGAAAACGATATATTTCATTCAGTGTTGCTATGCGACCTATCAAATACCGCGAGCATGTGCCCAGCATGGGACAACCGGTCACTATACCGCACGATCCGCGTCTGCCGTTATTCAACAAAACTTCCTAAACTTTATTCGAGTCAGCAAAGATCCCAAACAAGGTCCAATGAATCAAGTGCAAATGCAAAGGCAATGTTGCGAGCCAAATCAGACATCCAAGGAAGTACTGGCGCTCAGAGCACGTCTATGATGGGTTCATAAGCGACGGCTGGTAGCGTGGAAACTGCGAATGTGGTATGTGTTTCATCTTGCTGGCTCTGGGGGATTTTCGACGCGAAGAGGGTCGGAAAAAATTTGGTTCTTACCTGTTAGTTCTGGCTGTAGATGTGGGAGTGAGCGGTTAGAGTAGAGTAGAGGAGATAGACTTGGACTGGAACCGCATTAGATTCAGGCCTAGCCTAGGCTGTTGTTGCTTTCGCAAGCAAAAAATGTCGATGAGGAAGGAAGAAAAAAAAAAAAGGCGGGAGGTGGGTATTTATATTCTGCCTGGACCCTCGAGCTGCCGTGGTAACCAGGCCGACCCATAATAATGTACGAAACTTCTAGAGACGGGCAGAACAACAAATTCAATTCTGTCCCTAAACAGCTCCACAGCTGTCAAAAGGACTTGGGCTTGTCCTTCGATCTGGATCAGGGGATTCTACAGCTATAGCTAGATGCAGGCCGCAAGAGCAACCTTCGTCAACGACTTAACTACCTCGTAGGGCTCATGTCCAGTGTTGCGCAAGCATATATTGCCAATGGTTCACGCTTTATAGTATTCCATAGAGATACTTGGACCATAACAACGAAATGCACGGCAATGGACGGCATGGCTCCTTTCCTGTCCAAAACAGCCAAGATAATTGGATATCAAAGAGGTTCTCTGCCTTCTATCCATCTAGATCCTCGCAAGAGACTCCGTATATACCTAGGGCTCCCTTCCACAATGGCTAGATAGTCCATCCTTATCCAAATCCAAATCCAATCCAACATGGATACGGGCCGTACATCACCCCATAGCCTTCTGCCTCTGCCTCGTATTCCAATTCAACGTCTTACTCAAACTGCGCATCCAATCATCGCCCCTCCCGCGCTGCGGCAACACATTCGCAAACGGATACCGCGACGCCGAAACAGTCACGTAGTCGCCGGGCAGCAGCTCAACGCGCTGGCGCCCATCGAAGCTCGCCCACGAGCTTGTCCGTGCGTCGTACGGCACGCCCACGCGGAGAACCACCGTGTCCGGGAGTATGATCGGTCGGAAGGAGAGCGTGTGTGCGCAGATGGCGGTTATCAGGATCACGGGGTTGTCGGGGTGCGTTAGGGAGCCGCCGGCGGCCATGTTGTAGGCTGTTGAGCCGGTGGGCGTGGAGATGCAGACGCCGTCGGCTTGTAGGGTTGTGAAGTGTTCGTCGCCGCCGAAGAGCTCGATTGAGGACATTGCTGCACGCACGGAATGATTAGCACATATACTATATTTATATTCTTGGGGCTTTTGGGGGGGGAGGGGTCGGGCGTACTTGGGTTCGGCCCGCGATCGACGACGATATCGTTGAGGATATGCATGACGCCGTCGGGACGATGACTTAACGACCCCTCGCTCTCATCGCCGATCAGCTCGTCCACTAGATCGCGCGCCTTCTTGGAGGCCGGCGTCTCCTTGGAGCGCGGGTTACTCCGCATGATCGTGCACTCGAAGCGTAGTCGTAGGCTAACCAGGACGCCGTCCTGGATCGCAGACGAAAGGATATTCTGGTAGTCGTTGAAATCGAATTTCGTGAGGAACCCGAGAGACCCGAGGCTGAAGGATAGGACAGGCGGGACGATATGCTGGAAGAGCCAGGACGTATATAGGACCGTTCCGTCGCCACCCAGCGCAATGACAAGGTCAAAGAGGTGCGCTTGTTCAGTGGCCAGCTTTGTATCCCAGAACTTGAGGCGCGGTTCGATGGAGGCATCTTCGTCCAACAGTCCCCCGTAGTCGAATTCCGGATCCACGCGCAGCCTGTTCTCGATGTACACGGCGTACTCGGTGCCGCGGTCTTTGGAGAGCAGCCACCGCGCGACCTGCCGCGTTGCGTCGACGACCGACAGATCGCCTGCCTTTGTGACCAGGAAGACGGACTTCACGTTGAGCTTCAGCCGGATGGAGTCGAGTTTCTTGGAGAGGTTGCGCACGTTCCATGCCATGTCGGAGAGCTGCTTCTTCGTCAGGTGCCGCGACTCGACGGCTTCCGTCGCCGGCGATTTCCCGCGCGGGAGGGCCTGTCCGTCTGGTTCTGGTTCTTCGTCTTCATCTTCCTCCGCGATCGCGACGTCGTGGGCGCCTGCGCCCGCGTCCGCTGATTTATCTAGTATATCCGCCTCGAGCTTCGACTTGTCTTTTGAGATCCGGAAGTTCGCGATCTTCGCGGGCATGGGGCCCTCGCCGGCGATGAGGGAGTGCACGAAGCACGCGGTTGCTTCGTCGGTGTGGTCGATTCGGGGCTCGTCGGCCATGACGAGGGAGGCTTTGCGGCGGTGGCTGCACGTTCGGGCGGGGAATGAGACCTGCGCTCAATTAGCTATCTCATCGCGTCGCAAGAAAAAAAGATGAAGGGATGCGGGCGCACCTCGAATTGCTTGGGAGACTCGTTCTCCTTCTCCTTCGGTTCGGGGCCCTTGGCTTGTGTCAGTGTGTTGCGTGTATTGAGGAGAGTCGCGGGACGGTACAGAATCTCGTGAAGGCCGCCTGTCCATTGTGTTGTAGGAGACGCTGGTCTACCTAGTGTATACACGGAGCTGTTCTGACGTTGCGGAGAGATCCCAGGACTGGCTGGGGCTGGGGCTGCGAGCGAGAACGGAGTCGGCGATGACGTTGGTCCAGAGCGGGGAGATCGAGATCGGGCGCCATGCTCGACACTGCGCTTGAGATGGACTGTAGACTATAACTTGTGGTTCATGAGATGGTCTGTAGACCGAATCTCGTTGTTCGCTAGATGCGACCGTATAGATGGTGATAACCCGTAGATTGGGGCTGCTGAGCCTCTTCCTCGTTATCGCCAGATCTACCTACGAGTACGGCTCCCAGCTTGTCATGAGACGCCATGGGACGGCTTCAACTGCCTGGACTACGGGCGGCAGCTGTTGTCGGCGATGGACTACTCCGATACTCCATCTTGGACGATGAGAGACACACACTGACACCCAACACAGCCGCTGACGACGATGAACCCGGAGCCGCCGTGTCTCATATATATTTAGCAGCAAGCAGAACACAGCGGGGTGGTCTGGACTCTGGTGGAGAGGGAGAGCCGTCTGGATCAGTTGACGAGTCCTCCGTAGAGTCCGTACTCTAGGCTTCCCTGTTACCAAAGCCTCTCGTCAGGGCTCAGGCGCGGCGGTGCGTAGCATAGCAGGCGTCACTGTTCCACGCGTTCGCCTGGCTCAGGCGCGGGCGCAACTTACGAACAGAAACAGAGTCGTGATGAGTTGGAGAAGGGCTTACGCTGCCCTGAGGTCACGAGTCGGTGAGGAAACTCAGTCCGTAGGCTGGGGACTTGTCACAGCCAGTGACCTGATCAGCGCTTGCAGAGTATCACGACTCAAAGAACCCCTCATCACCCCTCCAAGGCGTAGATAAATGATGGCGCTCGGCCCCTGAATCATCAATCAATCGGGCGACCTGCAGAGACCCGGCGGAAGCATCGAGAACTGGACCGGGATTAGGTTCAATAATCGATCAGGCGAATTTGTTGGAGTCTGGAGACTTGAGGTCCGAGGATCTGCATTTGCAACGTGCCAGCCACCGCGAGTCGTGTCCTTGACTCCAGTCTCCGACTCTCCAGCCGCTCCACAGTCACACTGGGCTGGCCCGGTGTTTAGTCCTTGTCTTGACTCTTGACTCTTGACATCGGACTTGTTCCTGTTTCCTCTTGGACGGCGACTCTGAGTTGAGTTTGGAGACGGATCCATCGTCTATGACTGCAACGATAGCTAGACTACTGCTGGCTCTGAGTGTTTGATCAGACGGCCAAGTCCGAGCAGCACAGTGCTCTACGGAGTATGACCTGTCGCGATGCGATGCGATGCGATGCGATGACAGCTGGCCTGGTCATCCTCACGATCTGTCCTGACTCCTGTCCTCCCGGCTCCGAGCGATAGCCACCCCAGGTTTTGGTACGCCTGCACCTACGCTGCAGTCGTCACTCGATAGCTCTGTCGTGAATCGTTATACTTTCTTTGTTCCAGCGAAACCATGTGGCTTTGCGAACTCTATGGCGCTGGGGCCACAGTAAGTTCCAATAGGAGGATTCACTTGGACCCCGTATGGAACTGTGACCGCAGTGGTACGGAGTAGTGGCAGTGGAAAGTTGATTCTAGTCTCGGCAGGAAGCAGGATCCAGACGGATCGGTGGTTACTAGCTAGGGTCCTGGATCCTGAATCCCAGGCTGGATTACTGGTCAGTTCTTATCGGTTGTCTGGTGTTTGACCATTCCTGGTGGTTCGGTGGTGAGTCGTGACTGGGTTTAGCGAGAGCCAGGGGACAATCAGAATGTGCTTGTCTATAGTACTGCAAGTTCACCCATGGAAGGAAAGAAGATCATCTGCCGATGCAAGCGAAACAAAATATCGACCGATGCATTCGCAATCCGCAGATCCGTACGGAGTAGTTTGTAGATGATTCGTGCCATTGCCCGACTCAGTCGGGTCTCATGCAGCCTGACAAAGGTCCCATCCCAAGACCACCATCCCTGTCCGATATCGATAAACGCATGCGAGCCTCAGAATCGGGAACCAAATGCCTCCGTGCGTGCAGTGCACTACTGTGAAGAAAGTTTCTACCCTGGGTGGCCGATGCTGCGATGCATAATTGCTTTTGGCTGAGGTGTCACGGTGTCCCTGTCTTGCACTCTTGAATCTTGATTGACTGGAGTCGAGGGGTCCCACAGACTACAGTCCACTTGATCTGCCGTGCCGTGGCCAATGCAGCCAGGATCGGGCTGGAGACTGGAGTAGCTTTGACTTGACTTTGTATGGGACGTTAACGTAAACTATTTGCCCGATGCTTCTTCCAAGGTTGGGTGTGAACCTTGCCTGGCCAGACTCCGGAGCATAACTCGTCAATGCGCGCGATGAAGCCGCAAACCGGGGTGGTACAGAGTAACGTGTCGAGAATTCACTTTCTGAGGCGGGTGACCCCTAATCCCCTATACTCCGTAGTATAGATGAGAATATACGGAGCACAGAGCAAGGGACCTGATTCGCTGGCGATCCATGGAATCAAGTGCCGGGCTGCACCCCATACGAGAGGCGATGCCGCGATGGAGTCGATGTTGGGGTCATGCGGTTCTCCTTCCTTCAGGCATCCGCCGTATGGAGCTTCGCCTGCATATCGGTCCCTGCTAGCTGTCTCATATTTGCCACTGCACTTAAGACTGCACTGCCGCACTTTCTCCGCGTGAGTTTCCCACACGCCGTACGCCGGAGCTCCCCAAGGCGATCGAATCTGTTTGTTGACTGAGCCTGGGCAGGGTACATGCGCCTCAAGAAGGCAAGGCAACAATATTCTCCGCAGTTGAAACTGCAATTGACACGTAGCCAATAAATGATACGGTGAAAAAGCGCTCCGGAGAGATACGAGGAGCGGCGACTCGCGGACTCCAATTGTCTTGGAGTTTATTGTTGAGGAGCTACGGAGTCCGGGCGAGCCAAGTCATGGGCCAGGGCTATGGCCCGGTTTCATCGAGACGATAGTCTAGCGGACGCTGAGTGGTGTACCTTGCCTGGCGCCATGGTGCGCCACAACGTCTGAGCTCCAGATCAAGCATAGCAGACGGACGGTCTCAGACTCTCATCGGCCAGGGATCCGAGCAATAACGCAATGCATCGTAATGTGCAATGCTACCTAATTATGGTCGTGCTGGGTCCAGTGCTGTGAACAGCGACGATAGTCTGATATATACGGAGGAGAGGGCTATGCAGCGGGCGGATATTCGATCAACGGGTCCTGTCCGTTGTTTCTTTTGTTCCTCGACCAGCTAATAAGTGTTGATCGAAGGCGCGGGTACTACTACTCTGTAGATCTGCAGGCGGCCCATGAGTCGAATGGCCAGTATGGCATACATCGTACATGCATGCAGAGCTGCGGTTATCCTGCACCAAGCCCAACCGAGCACTCCGAGTTGAATGTCGTGCCAATGAAACCACCGAATCGCACAGGAGGACTCTGCGTGATTTCGTCGGCGGCTACTCCGTTGCAGGCTAAAAGCGCGGACGAACTCAAGAATGCGCATGCCGCGTCGTGTCACATTGCGCCCAAATCCAATCTAGGAGGAGAGACAAGCGACAGGGAGCCCCGGCAAGGAGTCACTCAGACAACAGGGCGAGATAGCGAGGCGAGGAGCACAGTGCTGAGTGCACATGTGATAGCGGGCTCGTCCCAGCGACGGAGACAAGCGGCAGAGCCCAAGCCCCAAGTCCAACCGATCAACCTCTCGTCGAAATTCCGATGATCCATCGAAGGAACCCAAAATAGGGACTGACATGCCGCTAAGGTAAGCCAAATTGTTTAGCGTCGGTTTCCCTTCCTCCCTTTTACCAGTTTGATTTTTCGCTCACCGATTTTTCATTTTCGATTTCCATGGGAGGGCGCTCGGGCCTGAACCGTAACCGTAACTTGGGGCTGATAAGCATCACACCCGAGTAGTACTAGTAGTAGTAGTAGATGTTGATGGAAGCCTGGAAGGTGACAACGACGGCTAGCGGAGGAAACGGAATGGGGCGATGAAAGGATCAAGGCATCCCTTTCTTTCTCTCCGTGCGTACCGTAGACTAGGCGAGAGACTGTGCCGCCGCCATGTCTGGGACGGTGCGACCGCCGATTATTCTTAGCAGGTTGGTTCAGCAAGGCTAATATTTTTGACTCCCAACGAAACAAGGACAATCAAGAATCATCAACGCCTGGCCGTGTCTGAGTTGCGATTCGCTACTGCTAGGGATCCTTAGTTTCATCTGAAGCTCGCCGCTCGCGCCTGTCGGGGCGGTTAGCTGGCTTCTGGACCCAGGTCCCAGGGCCACGCTGGAATTATCGGTTGGAAGTTGGACTTGGAACTTGGCGGGCTGCGGTGGCTGCGGTGACTCTGACGTCTGTGGAAACCGAACAGATCTCCCACTCCACTCTGTCTCCGAGGTTCCAGCCGCACAGTTCACCTGCAGTCTGCAGAAGCGACGAATAAGACCCGTTGGCCGACTTTGGCGGTCGCATGCCAGCTACGGAGTAAGGCTGTGCTTGAGGTAAGGATGGGAGCTCTTCCTCATTTGCGGGCTACTATCCCTACTTGTACGAAGGAATCCTGGTTGGCGGTTGACCTCTCACTTGCACGTCGAATGATGACTACGCTGACAAGTGACAAGTAACGACGGGCTGTGGTTGTTGCGACTCGCGAGGGAAGCTCTTATTCTACCGACGGTCCACCAAGGGGGGCCCCACCCATCGGTCAGTATTTAATACGTTCCAGTTTGTATGGTAGTAATCATACAATTTAGAACTGTACGCTGGCCTTGCTATATTAGCCTCCCCCACGCCCGACCTAGTGTTAAAACTTATAGTAAACTTGCTAAGTTACGCTGGTACATTATATTATATAAGAGATCATCTAGAAATCAATGTACCTGTAGAACTTATAAGGTTCTCAAGAAGGAAGAGTCAGAAACGAATAATTACAGGGGGCGGTCAGACCGGCCTCGGCCAATTAAAATGCAGTATTCGCGCCGATTTGGCAGAATTTAAACTTAGGAAAAAACTGCCACTAAACACCATGAAATTAGTATATATATATATATTAGTATAATCGTTACTTTTAAATTATACTATAATATCTTTACAACAACAGATATTTAAAGCTTTATATTAAGCTTATATATACTCTTAAAGGCGCTCTTTTAATATATTCAGTTAAAATTTAAAAATATTATATTTTCGCAAAGTTATTATCCTTTTAATATGCAAGTATGATTATACACGTGCTTCGCTTAAATAAAGCTATACTTTATATAGAAACCCCTATATAAACAAAAGCCACAACAAAACCAGGCACGTATTCCTTTACACACCCCAACCAGGTAAGCCCACCACCTACCAAGCCAAATTTTATGCTAATAAACCTCTAAATAGCTTCGCAAATACAGGTACATCGATTTATATGCGATTCCCTATAGAAAACCAAGTGCCTGCACTTCCACAACCTCGCCAGCGCGTCAACAGCCTTGCCAGCGCGTCGACGGCCTTGCCAACGCGTCGACGGCCTTGCCAACGCGTTGATGGCCTCATTCCTAGCCAAACACCACGCAGATAGACCTCTGGATAGCTTCGCAAATACAGGTACATCGATTTGTATGCAGTTCCCTATAAAAAACAAAGTACCTGTACTTCGATGGCTCTTCAACGCGTCAACAGCCTTATTCCTAGCCCAACACCACGCCGATAAACCTCTGGATAGCTTTGCTAATACAGGTACATAGATTTATATGTAGTTCCCTATAAAAAACAAAGTACCTGTACTTCGATGGCTCTTCAACGCGTCAACAGCCTTATTCCTAGCCCAACACCACGCGGATAAACCTCTAAATAGCTTTGCAAATACAGGTACATTGATTTATATGCAGTTCCCTATAAAAAACAAAGTACCTGTACTTCGATGGCTCTTTAACGCGTCAACAGCCTTATTCCTAGCCTAACACTACGCGGATAGACCTCTAAATAGCTTTGCAAATACAGGTACTTCGATTTGTATGCAATTCCCTATAAAAAATAAAGTATCTGCACTTCGACGGCCCTTCAACGCGTCGACAGCCTTACAAAGTACCAGCGCGTTGATGGTATATTCTCCTTCGCGCAAATAGACCTTATAGCTTTATAAATGCAGGTACTTTGATTTATATATAAATCTCTATAAAAAACTAAGTACTAGTACCTTAACGGCCATTGTTTTTCTTCGCGCGGCTGACTTAGTGAAATTTGAGATCTCCCAAGTCCCAACAAAGACCGGCCCCAGTAGGAGCGTTGTTACGAATTGTATGTACATTACCATACAAATTTGAACAGAATCCCTACTGGGAATGGTGGCCCTCGGGAGCGGTGGGGAACGTCGGTAGAATAAGAGCAGCCCTCGCGAGGGTTGCATAGAGCGATCAGCATTGTAGGGATCCATCATCAGCAGGGCAGCAGGCCCCTGCTTGAGTCGAAGCAGGCTCAGTCTCAGTCTCGCAGAAGAAACGGCTCCGTCGGATTTGTTGGCCCATGACCAAGACATGCTGACGAGGAGGCCGGCAAAGCCACGGCCGGGGTAAAGTCCAGACTGGACTGCAGAGTGCAGAGTCGCAGTCACAGTGGTGAGACCCACATTCGTTGGCCCTTCCACCGTGTGCAGGAATTTTGACTCGCCCCTGACCGTCAGGCTTCTGGAATTTTGTTCTCTCGGGTGGAACTGGGCCCCGCAATTGGCTTTCCCGGCGGTTCTCCTGCAATCTCCGCCTCCTGATTTGTAGGACAGCCCGCGATGATCTCAAGAGTCAAGACCCAAGGTCAATTGTCCGATAGGCGGTTGCTTAGTGTCGATTCACCGTGCTATGGTTGCACCGGGTTTTAGCTTTGTCTGTTCTTGGTTGCGTCGGCAGGAACCTGAACCTAGCATTCTATACTCAAGGAGTGCGAGGTTGTTTGTCAGGAGCAGACACCGTTACAATGTCTGATCGCCGGTTGTTGCTCTATCAGATATTCCTTTTGCTGCGCTCCAATGCTAGCAGCTAGGCAGAGGGCGTCTAAGCGTAGCCGAAGTGCTAATCGGCAGGATGGGAAGGGCCCATCGCAGGACTATCTATGGCTCCTCACATGCATGCAGTGCATATTGCAGAAGACTCGCTCCTGAGCCTGGTGATAGCACGGCGTAGTCTCGGCAGACGGCGTAGATACGTACGAGTACATCTTCCGTCGTCTCCGCGACACGCTGGGCTCGTCACAGGTACTCCGCAGTGGCACGTTTAATATAGTCTACCAATCCGATGACGATGTGGTCTTGTCGCAACTCCAAAGTTTGCCCGTCGCCTAGGGAGGCGCCTGCACGCTCCACCAGCATGGTTGCTGGGATTGGGAATTCCCAGGCTTACTCCGTACCCGCATTATAGCCGAACCTTCCGTCGAGTGATCCTTCACCGGTGTAGAACGTTCAAGCGGGAAGGGTTTGCTTCTTCGCCCCAGTCTGCGGCTGGTGTCATGGAGTCAGGCGAGTGAAAATTGGTGGTGTGAAGGGCGCTAACGGTGGTTCCTCTCGTGTCCTTGGCTGGATACGTATCAGATGTGGGTTTCCGGTTATCAGAGAATGATCACATCATTTGGATCGCTGTCTCGGCCATTTCCGGTTAGCCCATCCCGCATTGGATTGATTGAGAGAGACTCAGAGTCTAAAGAGACGGTGACGGCGACGGTGGTGTCGGAGCACGGTCGGACTCACCTGGACGGTCGCCCTGTCATGACACGACCATTTCAGACTTCGGGAGCAGCAAAAGCAAGCACGAGAAAAGCGAGCGACCATTCTCCGAAGAAGGCCAAGAATTGATCGGTCGTCCTTGCGTAACGGCGATTTGACGGGATGGAAACGGTGAACTTGTGGGGACGTGAGGAATTCAGAATTGACAAGAAGGGAGGCCGGGATGGCGTACGTAAGCAGCTGCTACTGGCGGCGACACTCCTAAAGGATCGAAACCTTACTCCTCTAGGCAGCTGTTTATCTTTGTTCAGCATGGGCCTGGATCACTGAATCAGTGAGTGGTCAATGGTCATCCTTCGCTCCTTCCTTCCCAAGTTGTGCCAGCGCCTTGCTTAGTGCCATAACGGGGATCGTGGAGCTCAGGCAGATCAGGATGCCACAAGGCTTTGATTCCCCGTCCAGTCCCACTCATTCCCAATTCGTTTTAATTTTTGGTTGGATTTCTGATCACCCCTGTGTCAGGCTTGACCCCAGGCCGAGCTAGAGCTCCTGTGCATATTGCTGCAGTCATCCATGGATCCGCTCTGTTTGATATACATATCCCTCCTTCCCTCTTGCCGCGCCTTCTCTGCTATATTACCTGGATTCCGACCCCCAACACTCCAATACACTCCAACTCAACCTCAACACAACACAACTTACGATTCCATGACCTACTACTCCCAACAAGGAGCCTTTGTCGGCTCGCAATGGCCCCAGAACAACCAGCCATCCGCCTTTCAGCAGTTCCTCTACGCCTTCCCACGGCCCAGGCTGGGCGGCCGCATCAGCAAGCCTCGCAGTGCAGGGAATAGCCCGTCGGCGGGCAGGAGGAGGACAGCAACGATGCACAGCACGCCCACGTACCGGCAGCCCCCCGCCCAGGACCAGCAAGCCCACTTGAACGCAGCGCTCCTGGCGGCAATGAACCGAAGACGAGCCCGGCCCATGAGCTGGCACCCCGCGTTGAGCCAGGAATACGCATCGCCTTCGCAATACTGTCCGCCGAACATGGATCTGTACAACTTTCCGGACACGCAGCCTCAGCCTCAACATTCGCAGACAATGATGGGCGGGTTTGACGATACAATGTTGCATCAATTCGCGGGTGCTGATATGTCTAACATCGCCTTTCAGCCCTCGCAAGAGTTGTTCTCGCAACACAACCCTCAAGCCGACAGCGCGTTTTGGGATCAGACTGGGATGGGTGTGCCATCCTTTCCGCCATCAAACGACTGGCCCTTGGATATGACATCGATCAACCAGAGCGTTCCGTCAGTAGGGGCGCCTCCGTCCAACTATGACAGCGTGTCATCCCCGGGACCAGCGACGCCTGACTTCCTTCCAATTCAACAATTCGGTGACGATGCAGAGTCGGTGGCTATGGAGAAGCCCGAGCCGGAGGACGAACTGGTTGGAATGGGCCTCTACAACAACCCCGACGCTACCGACGGATTGGTGTATGGAATGAATGGCAAGGGACTGAAACTGGAAGAAACCTTCACGCCGTCCGCGCAGAATGACGAGGACGACGACGAGGAGGAAGATCAGCAAGAGCCGGAGCAAGACTCCAACGATCAGCAGCTGCCCCCGCAGCCAACCAAGCCAGCCGAGAGCATGCTGAACAAGTCCTTTTTCTTTGAAAACGACGACGATATTGAACAGCCGACCACGGCGCGCCACTCCTTTAACTTCCCCACCAACAACTTTCCTACGTCATGCATGAATTACGGATACGGATGGATATGATTTGTTTATCGCATAGCGCGGAGTTATTTCGGGAAGCAGCATACTTAGCACAGCATAGCATAGCATATGGCTCGGGCATCTGAGCGAGGCGTTTTATCATCATGTACTCATAGATCAATCAACAAATCAACAACAGTACTCCTTAACTTCATGATCCCATCTTCCATTAAAGATAGAAACGTGACAACGCGGAGAAATCTTCCGACACCAGCCAGAGCACAAACCACGCTAAGCCGTAAGCATCCCGGCCGGAATAACAATCCCCCGATATATAAAAAATCCGTCCACCAACACTCATACATCCCAATCAACCAAAATAATACCAGGTCAAGATCAGCATGGCAAAAGTCATCTTCACCCCCTGGAAAACCCACGCCGACCTGCTGTCCGTGCGGAACCAATTCTACCCGCCGCCGACATACGAAGGCCCCGATCTGCGCGCAACGGCCTGCGCAATCGTACGTACCCGTTTCTCCCACCCTCTCCAATCCAATAGGGTGCACCTGTAGTGTAGCCGGAACGAAGCTAACGCCGTCCAGGTCTCCGCCTGGAAACTCCGCGGCACCCTCCCGCACACAATCGAAGCCACCGCGCTCCTCACAGACGCAATCCTGAACGACGACAGCAGCAGGAACTCCGTCTTCGCGATACGCGCGACCTACGCGGCTGCGTTCTGCCGGTTTGTTTACCCCCTCTACCTCTTTCCCTTTTCCCTTTCTCGCTCCGTGCTCCGTGCTCCGTGCTAATGAATCTAGATTCGTAACGGGCTTGGTTGACAGCAAGCTGGGCGCACGGCGGAGCATGTTCTCGCGCGCGGCGGAGCTGGGGCTGCCAGCGTCGTTTGTGGAATTGAGGCATGAGGCGACGCATCGCGAGCTGCCGAGTTTGGTTGTGCTGAGGCAGGCGGTTGCGAGGAGTTTGGAGTGGTTGTGGGGGTTTTATTGGGCGGGGCTTAGTCTTAATTCGGTTGGGGGTGCGGGTGCATTTGGTGTTGCGGATGGTGTTGGGGCTGGGGTTGGAGTTGGGAGCGTCTTGAGGGGATTGCTTGACCAGGCGGGTGGGTTGCTGGGGAGTGGGAAGGAGGGTGCGGGTGAGGACCTTGAGGGACCGCCGAGGAAGAAGAGGAGGGTTCAGAGGCAACTTGCGGGTGTTGCGGGGAGGGTTGTGGGGGTTTTGAAGATTGAGGGTGAGAACGAGAGTCCAGAGCAGAGAGAAGACGGGGGAGGGGGGACACCCGCAAGGCCGGACAGGGTTCTTGCGCGGCTTATGCTGGGAGATGGGGTTTTGATACCGGCTGGACGACGGTAAGTTCTTTTCTCTTTCTATCAACCCCAGTTATACGGATACGGTTCTGACATCCCAGACTAAACGACACAACCCCCCTAACCAACACACTAAACCAATGGACTCCCTTCGTCCAACTCCTCACAGCCGGATCCCCATCATTCCTCAGCACACTAACAGAGAGCATGGCCGACGCCCTCGCATTCCCATCCACCTCGGCCTCACCAAACCCAGACCCCAAAGCAAACCCCACCCTCGAAAGCATCTACACATGGCTGGACCACATCCTGCACTCGGCGCAATGGGAGCTCCAGCGGCGGTTCATCTCGCTCTCGTACATTCAAGCTGTGTGCGAGAGTGCGGAGGGGAATTACTGGACTGCATTACTGAAGGAGAGGATTGAGAGGGGTGCGAAGGGGAAGGGGAAGGGGAAGAGCAAGAGCAAGAAAATAGACGGTTTGCCTCCGCTCTCTTCTACTTCCCCTGGATCTGGTGAGTTGTCGAAAACGAATACCACGGACGACGAAGATATGAAGACGCTCAGCAAATTCGGATGGGAGATGGCGGAAGCAGAGACGTCGGAATGGGATGCGCATGCCCGGCCGGTGGTGGTGGCTTAGGTCCGTCGAGGTCCCTGGGCATCGTTGACGCCCGTTCTTCTCTTCATGTGTACAAATTTATCCTTATCTACCACACTCTACATCATATTTTCCCTGAACATTCACGCCCCAAGCATGTCGGCACAGGCAACACACAACCTGCTTCTGCTTCTGCTTCTTCTGCTTCTCCCCCTGATACCTTAATACCAGCCAACTCGAACAACCCGGGGCTCCCGCCCCTTGGTCGCGTCCAACCGATTCGCGCCCGAATGCGACCTAAACGGGCGGATCGGCCATTGACCTCGATCCATACGGACTGGCCCAGACGGCAAGCTGGAGGTGAAGGAACGGCTTTCGGAGCCGTTCAACGTACGAGGAGCAGGAAGCCATGCTGGTAGAACGCGCTAGTTCGCTAATCCATTCAAGTTGCTGATGCGACGTGATTGCTCCGGTGTTGCATTGCATTTGCCTCGCTATGTTACCATACCCTGCCTTACTGGGGCTGCGGGTGGATGCTCCCATCCACTGCACCTGCACCTGCACCTGCAGTCTGTCACTTGTCACTGAGAATGCAGCTGTAACGCTGGCCATGTAGGGTTCTTCTCATGAGAGCCCGATGTGGATGGCTTCCCTCATATCTTTAGTAGAACTTGTGCCTTGTGCTTCGGGTGCGTGCAATGGATCACGGTGGTTGGCATAAGATGTATAGCATCCCAATGGGTTAATTGCGCTGTTTACGTACCAGCTGGAAAAGGCTATGTCCTCTACTGCACTAGGAGGTGGCCACGCTGTCACTCGTGCATTATGTTGCAAGTGTACGCAACGCAGATTAGAAGTCTTGATAGCCAGTATCTACCTACTGTCTTGTCATGAGAATGTAGAAACGTTGCAGGTGCAGTGATTAGCATTAAGACCAGCGAGCAAAGCCCGCCAGCGACATAGAACTTGGAAGTAAACTACTTGATTATACAGATATAGTACAATAGCTGGAGTAGCTGGAGTAGCTGCGAAGATCCTAAACAGCAGATCTACCACGGCAAGACCAAAACACCCCCCAGAACGCCCGCAACAGCCCAGATCCCCATCACAGCGCCAACGCCCTCCCAAGCCGACCTCGAGTTCCCCCCAAGTCTCCCAGCAGCATTGCTCGGACTCTCGCTCGCCTCCGCCGCGGCCTCCGCCTCCGCCTCCGCAGACTCAGTCTCCTCCGCCGCCTTGTCGAGATCGCTCTCGTGGTGCAGGATCGTGATAATCGGCGCATAGTACATCCCGGTGTAGTAGCCGCGGTCCTCGGGATCAAAGGTCGTGGTGACTGTGCGGACATGGGTGGCGGTCGCGGTGGGCATCTTGAAGGTGCCGACGTTGGTAATGACATCGGTCTCGCTTCCCTCGTCGTCGCTGTAGGTGTATGTGCGCGTGTATGTCGAGACGGTGCGGCCGTATTCGTAGTCGTAGGTCGTGGAGATCTCGCAGCCCGTGGTTGGGGTGTAGGTTTCGGCGATTGAGTAGCAGGCGCCGTCGTGGTCGGCGGTCATATGTCTGGGGGCACGTTAGCAGTTGGACCTGTAAACCTGTAACCTGGAGATGACGAAGAAAGAAAGGTGAAGGCATACTCAGGGCAGCAGAGCGCCATGGTCTGCTTCGGCTCGAGCGCGCTCATCAGGACGGACGCTGGGTCCTGCGTGGTGTAGGAGTCATAGTCGTAGTCCTCGTCGTAGTCATAGTCATAGTCATAGTCGCTGTACGGGGTTGGGGTGGCCGTCCTGGTGCTGGTGCTGGTGCTGGTTGAGGTTGTGGTCGGGACCAAGAAGCCCGACGAGGTGAGGACGCTGCTTGCATCGCGAGCCGCCATGCCAATGGTTTTCCATCCCTTGGGACAGTACAGACCCGGAGAGTAGTATACGCCGTAGCCGTCGTATTCAATCCAGTCGGTGCCACCACCGTAAACGGGCTCGCCGGTGGTGGTGGGCTCAGAGGTCGTGGTGGGGGTGCAGTCCTCAAAGTCGACGGTGGCCGTGCATTGGGAAGAGAGATAGACATAGATGCCCGTGCGGGTGTCGAGGCTGCCCAGCGCAAGCTGGTTGGATGCAGTGCATGCTGGAGGGGGCGTGAAGGTGGTCGTGACGGGGCCCAGGTTGGAGAAGGTGTATAGGCCCGCAGAGACGGAGATGTTCATGCCGACCATTTTGAACGAGCGTGGGTTGAAAGAGCGACGTCCTCCAGGATCGACCTGGGAATTCTCTTTATTTGAGCATCCCCCAAGGCTTTACAGGCACCAGGATGCTACCTAGGAAAGCTACCCTGACTCAAGAAGCTGCAGCAATCTCGCTTACTGCTCTTGGCAGGGACCAGATCCAGTGGCATTCCAACCATGGCCCACTTGAAAGCCTCTAGCTGCGAGTTAGGGCTGTGCTCTAGTCCCTATCAGGCCACATCTCCTGCCCTGGGCAATTTCAGGCTCTTGGACCCTGGCCGGTGGGCGTCGCATGAGCCTCCGGAGAGCTTCCGAGTCCCCAGCCCCTGAATCCTCCACTGCCGCTATATCCGGCTGCTGGGTCTATGATCTGCCGCATCTCGCCATCATTTGTGTAAAGGAGCGAGCAGGATCTGTCTCGGACGATGGACCGGGTAATCCCGCAGACGATGTTGATCGTTTCTCTCCTATCCTCTGAGCACCGACCGCTCTTTTGAAAAACAAGCGAGCAAGATGGCCTTAGTCTCTTCGAGCGAGTTCAGACTTCACAGCCCCAGGCCACAGCTCTCTATGCTTTGAAAGGAAATTTTGACGGCCCGCCACGGCGCCATTGCCGTGGTTAGACACGGTCGTGGTCAAGTGCCTGATTTTGGTGCTGGCGTTGACCGTTAGGGCTAGAAATGCTCGCCACAGAAGCTCAACGTATACACCATCTTGTATGGTAAACTTCAAAGACTGGGAGTCTTCCAAGGATACAAAGACATAAATTTGAGATTTATCTGATACAAGGGAGGCAAGATGAAGGTCAGGAAGAAAGTAACAAGACATTAAGCACAGTTTAGTTACCAATTCGATAACAATTCTCCAAAATAAAAAACTCTGGGTCTCAGTTCTACCTGATTACTGTCAGTATGAAACAGTTCCGACCCTACGCATGATCCCCATAACTGCGCAGACGTTGGCAGTCCAGGATATGAAATACGTTAAATTGAAAACATTCACCCAAGACCATACTCGCTGCATTACCCAAAAAGCCATCCAAGACACGATGAGCTGGGAAATAATCTGACTAGATACTTTTTCGGTCTCTGGAACATACCATCCTTTACTTTTTATTGTAAGGGTATCCCGGTAGGGTGCGAGGATTGCCAGCCCTACTATAATCGTGTAACAGCTCAGCCTCAGCCTTGCGCAGCTCTCAAGTCTGCATTGGGCTCTGACCCTCCGTGTAAACTAACCAATGGCTTCCCTGGGTAAGAGATGTGGTGGCTTAGAATCAGACAAACATGCAATGGGCTAAAGCTGTGTTCGGCCACCTATCGCGTTATCAAACAACAGGAGTGTTAACTCAGCGCAAGAAACCCTCAGGTCGATGTCACGAAGGGAGATTATAGGTAAGACTTCCAAAATAGGCCGACCTCGTGTAGGCGGCTTCATGGTACACGCGTAAACAGGGTTAGGGCAGGCTCTTAACTATAGACTCTATATTTGAGGAGGATGTTAGCTGCCTAGGTGAGACATCCACGTTCGCCAGGTGGGGTACAACTATCATTCGTTGCACCATGCAGGTGTTGTACAGCACTGGTAGTCCTGCGGCTCCCAATGGCTAGTGTAGCTTCCTGGTGGTGTGGTGGGACAAAGGCAGACCCCCCGTGTAGGCTGACTGGAGAGCCTTGCCGCCGTGCTTGGGCACGGAATATCAGAGTAGCAGCTTTTCTGCATGAGATGTGCCAGAAATTGATAGGAAGATTCAGACTGGGTCGTAACACTGCTATTCATCAGCATTTGCCATATGTTCTGTCATATTGTAGTGCGGTTCCACCATCACCACGTACTATAGCTACTGCCATACATATAGACCTTCCGTCCGCTCTCGTACCTACTATACCTACTAGATACACATTCCTTCCTGACCTAGGCTAACGGCGCCTCCCAAGTCATCCTACCTCTATTGCTCAGCTACCTCGCCTCCACAACCTATCCATCTCCCCAGATGACGCATGTGTTGCTCTGTTAAACAGAACGACCTTTATCATGGACACCGAACTCTCCTTACTTTCCGGGCAGCCATCAGAGAATCAGAGCGACAACTATGCCGAGTCTCTGGCACCGTCGACACCACCTGCAGTGACCACACAAAGCCCCCCACCGCGAAAAGAAAGCAATTCGTGGAAATCAAGAGTGCAGAATGGTTGGCTATTGGAAGCAATCTCGACCTCGTTTAGCAACCTATGCTTCATCGCCTTATGCAGCGTCCTACTCGCATACGATGATGAACAACGTCCGGCTCTAGTCTCACTCAACTTTGTGGTCTCCGTTCTAGGCACCGCTTGCAAGTCCTCGCTCATCCTTGCAATCGCGGAAGCACTAAGCCAGTGGAAATGGCTGTCACTTTCCAGGAAACCCACTCGATTGCTGAGACTCCATGAGCTGGATAATGCGAGTCGCGGCCCGCTTGGTTCGGCGATCCTCCTGTTCAGCCGCAACAACCACATGCTCGTCCATGTTGGGGCTGCTGTTCTCATTCTCCTCCTTGGGTTCGATCCCTTCATTCAGCAGATCCTCACCTACCCGATGCGACTTACCGAACGAATTGGCGGTAATGATCGCGCCTTAGTTGGGCAGGCGAGATACGGTGGCCCGAATACTATCAATTCGACGTATACGCCCAGCTGGGAGACAGCCTACCACAGGGCTATGTGGGCAGATGACTTCGAGATCCGCCCGTCCTGCCCGTCGGGGAACTGTACATGGTCTACATTCCAGACTGTCGGATACTGTAGCCGTTGCACCGATAGAACAGCAGAGGCTAGCCTGGTGTTCAATGAGCAGCCGGTCCAAGCGACTGTCTCAGGCACGGAAACGTGGACACGGTGTCAAGTGGCCTTACCGGGGGTTCAGGAAGGTGGGCCATACCCACCTTCAGAAGAGATGTGRTTAGCTAATAACACCGATGTAATGCAGCTGTTAGAGGCCATTATCTGGAGTACCCCCTTTAGCACATTGTGGTCTCCTACCCCAGACGGAGACACTTTCTTGGTTTTCGACCTTGAGAACCCCATGTTTGGCCTTGCACATGCACAGCTTCGCACTAATGAGACCCTCATGCAGTCAGGTGCAGAACCATCCAAGGCACTCTTTGTGCAAAATGTGACTGAGTGCCGCTTATCATTGTGTCTATGGGAATACAGTGTCTCTGTTGCCAACTCTGCTCTCTCGGTCACTGCTGCAGCGGTAGATCATGGCCAGACCTTTTACGCGGATGACAATCACCAGACGGTCTGCTGGGTACCAGAAGGGGCTGGTTCAACAGAGACGCCCGCCCGTACAGTGATTCCTACTGAGCCCTCCCTCCTATTGAATACCACTGGTCTTCGCACTTGTGGCCTTTACCATCTCAGGACCGATGACTTCGCGGCAATGCGCGAGGTTGTGCTGACTCGGCCCACAAATGCCACAAACGGTACCAGATGGGAGATTCACTCTTGGTATGGCGATGACAACCCCAACTTTGAACGCATCCAAGCTCTCGGACTCGAAACCCTCATGACGAGACTTGCCCGCTCCCTCACCGAGACACTCATCGACGACAGCAACTACACCATCCCAGACAAAGTCTGGGACCCCGAGCCTTTCGTAAAAGTGCGCTGGCCCTGGCTCATCCCGCCCGCAATTTTAGTTCTGACAGGCAACGTCTTCTTTGCCCTGACCGTTTACACCAGCAAAAAGGAAAAGGTCCTTCCGTGGAAGTCCTCCAGTCTAGCCCTTTTTTACCACGGACTCGAGAGTGTGGACCATGACGATTACCTCTATACTACTGCGAGTAGGATGGAGGAGAAGGCCGGGGTGGTTGATATTCGGCTGGGACTGTCGGACCAGGATGGGCGGTAACGCGGTTGGTTCTTCGGAAAGAATAACCTCAGGTGGTACGGAAGCATGGAAAAACAGCCTAAGGAACGTCTGATATGTTTGGAACCAGGCCCTGAGGCTTATAGCCTGCAGCGGTACAGTTTGTAATACCAGCTGCATTGTTAGGCAACATGCTAGTAGGAGATGCATAAGCACAAGAGTCAGAGGCCGGCTGAGTACCTAAAGAGTACTCCGTACCCAATGAATACGCGCTGTGGCTGGCTGAGCTAACCAATGCCATCATGCAGCTTACAAGGCATAAGGCTGCGTACGAGGTAACCACTGGTCTTATGGTAGGTATTTAGGTATACTAAGCGATTGGTAGCCATGCGCAGACCCAACGGACATCCTCAACCAGACCGTAGATAGATAACCCACATGCGTAGTCTGTGTACCGCTGACCCTCAAGCCATCTAAAAGGTATGAAAAAGCTATCTGTTGCATACTATTGCTATACTATAGTGACATGTTAATGTTAGAAGAGCGCGATGAGGGCTAACAAGTCACATGATATGGCAGCATTCAATCGATCCCTGTGCAAAATAACCACTCATCTATTATAGTTTAAACATTAATGTCATGGCTTACTAAAATAACAAATCCGCAAACTGCCGAGAGCCTCATCTTATTGCTTTGTTATGTCACTCGACAGGGCGTCCGAGCCGACGCCCTCCAGCTGTTCACTTCGCACGCTCTATCTAGACTAGCGGATACACTGCAGTTGATACTGATTCCTTCGAGGGTAGGGTATGTGCATGTAAGCTGGGTGTATTCAGCCTTTAGCGCCTGGCGCGTGAGCCTGAGCCTGCCTTGTGTACCCTGACGGGGCACTGTATCTGCATAGCCACAGTCACAGTCAGTTCACACAGCTAGGGGCATTTACTTGGTAGGAGAGCACCATCATACCATGTCTGGTTACGTAGCAGGGTAATAGATCTAATTCTGCTTGTTTATAATAGTGGAGAATCAAAGTAGATTTGGTTTTGTGCAGTATACCCTATAAATCTTGAAGTGCAATACTCGTCTGGAGGCTATAAACTACTCCAAAGTAGGTAATCGGCAAGGCTGAACCCATTCCATATTTCTCACCTGCATTAACCAAACACCAGGATATCTGCTGTTCATTAGGATCCCTGTCATATTTTGGGGCTAGGTGCATACATTCAGGAACTGGACAATTAAGCCGAGCTGCCTATATTAGCGCCCCGATGCCCATCCATTCCAGTTCAGTGCTATGGCTTCTGCAACAACTACCTGCTGAGCTTGTGCTCATCTCAACTTAGGACACCCAGCGTCCAGTCCCAGCCTACCATACCTACGCCCTAGTCTTTCACCAAGGTTGAAATGAAGCAGCCGCCCGCGCCCCCATTCTCAGCCTTTTCAAGCATCACCCCGCAACCAAACCCCAACCAGCAGCAGACAGCAAAATACACCCACCCAGCGGGCTTCAACTTCCACAAAGCGCCCATCACCATATCCCCATCCGCCCCGCACAGTCCGGGGCTGCGAGCATACCTAACCCTCCAACTCACAACGCCAAAGCTGAACGCGATCCACCACCTGCTCTGGCTCGCGGGCCTGCCGCGCCCAGCTGCACCACTGCACCGCCAACGGCTGATGAACCGCACCGTGGTCCTGACGGAATCCCCCGATGAGCACCTTGTCTGGAGTCTGGGGTACGGGGACGGCAGGATCCTGGTCAAGCCGGTTCCTGAGTGGCTGCTCGACTATGACTTCTGGGTTGGTGAGATATGCGTGGATGTAGAGCTGCATGCGTCTGCGTGTGGGCTGCTATTGTCGTATGTCTGGCTGGCCGGTGGGAGTAAGCTTGATTTTGAGATGGCGAAGGACGAGCGTATCCTTCCGGGATACGTCACTTGGGAGGCGTGGACGGCGCTTCTGAGGGAGGTTCTGGAGTGGGTTGAGAAGCACGGGCGCAACTGTTCGCATTCCCATTCCCATTCCCATTCCCAAGCTGGTATTCTTCCATCTCAACACCCGACGACTTCGCATCCAGATGTACTCAACAAGCGCTACCAATTCGGCGAGCTCCGCCTCAGCCGGCTGAACTGGCTATACAGACTCGCGCCCTCGACAATCTCCCCCCGCAACCTCGTCTTCGGATTCATGCCCAGCTCAACCCGGTACCGCGCGTTCTTCGAGCGTAACTTCTCCCGGATCCTGGCGGTGCTGGTGTACCTATCTGTTTTGCTCTCGGCGATGCAGGTTGGGTTGGCGACGGACGAGTTGCGCGGGAACCGGGTATTCCAGCGATTCTGCGCGGTGTTTGCGCTCGCGTCGATTCTTTTCACGGTTGCTTTGGTGGGGGTTATGCTGGTCTTGTGGACGTTGCTGTTTTGCTATCACTTGGGTTTCACGGTTATTTATTGTAGGAGGAGGATGGGGGCGAGGGTGTAGTGATTACAGTATTACATGCCAAGGCTAATGTCGAGGATGCCTTTTCTTTTCTTCGCATAGGAAGTGATACGTGCTTGGTGAAGTGTGTTTCTGGGGCTGGGGCGAGTATGGCTGGGTATCTATAACTTGAGGCGTCTGGCCTAGGTACTGGCTGAAATAGTCTATGCCTTGGATATACCTAGGTAGTGTCCCCCATCTAGCTCTGATAGCTATACCCTGCACACAGTATGGCACCAATAGCATATAGATGCGCTCTTCATACCATTTACCTGCATTGCATCCAACCATCCAACCTTGAAAGCTGAGACTCCACCTCCACTATACCAATCGTCTCGCAGTACCAAAAAAAACAAGTGAATTTGCCGTGGGACCACTCTGCCCGCTCATAAAGACCTAGATCCATTGATCTACCCCTCAGTGCATTATAGCCAGTGAGTCCAGTCCCATGGTACATAGAACACCATTTCATTGTAGCAATGCCGGATATGTCTCATGCTGTCTTCCATGAGCTTGATCATGTGCTTGAAATTCGAAAGCCGACTATCATGCATGCTCAAATTCCTGAGTCCGTCAATGCCGTCGCAGCGTGGGACGTTACACCCGGTAAAGAAGCTGAGACGAGAGCTGTTTAGGGGTTAGACTTCGTGCTTTAAAGTCCCGAAGGTCTTTCATGGTCTTTGTTACTGTCGGCAATTAGATTTGCTTGTTTGGACTACAGTTGTATCAGGAACAAAGAGACTCGGGATGTTGCACGTGCACTTAGGGCTAGGAGAACAAAGACATGATAGATACCGGAAGTATAGAGCTGCTTCCATGTCCTCTTGCTTGTACCTAGATAGGCGCCTGAATCTGTGCCCACATCGGCAGGAAATCGCAGTTCAGCTCAAGTTCTTTCACCGAGCCTGAAACCGCTTTCAAGGAACTCTCCAACACGCATAAATAGCTTCATCTCGCCCCGAGTCGATGACACCGACTCAGATCACTCAAAGCAACTCGATCACAGTACCGAAATCTACAAACTAATCAAACCAACTAACAATCCAAGATGCGTTCCCTCATCATCGCCCCCCTCGCCCTCTTCGCCCTGGTGGCGGGGGCGTCCGCGGTATGCCCCCATACCCCATACCCCAAACCCCATCCCCAACTAACAAACACACGCATCCAGATCCCCACGACCTCCGACTCCGACATCGCCTTCTACCCAGGCTACGACAACGACTGGGACCTCAGCGGCGCCTGGAACGCCGACGAGGCCGAGTCCGAGCCCACGTCCACGTCCACCCACACCCTAGAAGCCCGCGGCAAGGGCCCCGCCAGCCACTGCACCCTGCAGAAGGAGTTCATCGGCCGACAGAAGAACCTCAAGCGGAACATCAAGTACCTCCGCGAGGTGCGCAACTCGCCTGCGCGCCCGAGGCTCGAGGCCGGGAAGTGCGCGATGGTCGCGTGCTCGGGCGAGGGGTATGATTCCACTGTTGTGGAGTGGTGTAATGATGTAAGACCCCGACTTCCGTGTTGAGAATTTAACTTGGGGAGGCTGGGATGGGAATTGGCGCAGGCTAACGTATCGCAGAGCAAGAAGGCAAAGACGCTGCCTGGCTGGCATAACATTGCCGACGGCGCCCAGGTCATCCTGGATCAGTGCCAGAGTCCCAAAGACAAGGTTTCGGGGTACTTGGGTCACAACGATGGGTGGCGCGTTCTCACTTATGCTAAGCCTTGCTATCTTATTCCTGGGCCGCAGAACTGAGTATCCTAACCTTGGGTCTTGGATTACTGGACTGCTGGTGGGCTGGCTGGAGCCAATTAGTGATTGCTTCTTCTGACACTAATTCTTACAGGACATGCGCGCGGAGATGTACCATACCTAGATGTGCTTAGGTAGGGCATCGTCGATTTTATTTGCTGACATGATTACCACCATAAGCGCGGAGGAACAGTACCATAGGGTTTGCACATTTGTAATGCCTAATAGTCGTTGATAAAAAAAAACCCCTACAAAAGACTAAAAACATATGTATATTTGCGTCCATTCCTGCCAACTTTGTATCTGTTCCACTGGGAAGTGCAGTACAGATCTGTAGTGTTTTACCTGGGTATCCTAGATGAAGAAGAATGAGACATATACACCCCTGATACCATCGTCTTCTATGTACATTGATTGAGGGTGACTGTTCCTGATTAATCCTCTACAACTCGATTTGGCACTAAGCAGGCTACACTGACATGAAGCCTGCCCTATATACCCATATAAATATATATATATATATATATATATATATGGCTCAGGCATATTCAGTAGTAGAGTAGAGTCTCAGCTTTGCTTCGGTGATCGGGTAATATGCACCTGGAGCCTCCATTCCTCCCTTCTTTCAATACGTACAAGACTCGTGTTGCCTGCCTCCTCTGAGTGCACGACCATAATATCCCCAAGAGTCCGCTTGCAATGGCTGGATTTCGCAGGCACTAGGGTTGCTTTGCCGGGCTCAGTGGCGACATTGCACACCGCTATCCTCTTGTCACTGCATCACGCCATGCATATTCAATATTTCGGACAAGTAAGAGGTAACATCTGTCCCGTGTGCACTCTATCTACCTTGATGGAATCTGCGGAGCGTGCACATGGGCTATTTTCTACCTGGTGGAGCTGGGGAGAACTGCTGTACCCATCGGCCGACGCAGTCAATCAAGCAGAGCCCAGTCACCCCGTGCTAAAAAGAAAAACTCAGAAATGAACCTATTATAGTGGTTAGTTTTAGTCCAGGACTGTATTCCATTTTCTTGGACCACTTGGAATAAATGTCCAGGGACCGTGAAGACATATGTCCGTGCTTAGTTCAAACGGCATTCTGGACTAACTGAGAACAAAGAGTCGGAGCTTGAGGGTATGATTTCATGCTGAGTGTACGGTTGAGGACCCCGAGACGTAGTTTAGGGGGGTAGTGCATCTAGAAGGCTCCCCGAAGGCCCGAAGAATTCCCGAAGGTCCTCTTCAATCAATCCATCCTCGCATCCACTTTGCGCCAAAATGTCGGCCGTTAAAGTTAATCTACAATAGATTAACGCTTGATTGTGATGTTTCTCGAAGCTTAGTAGGGGGTGGGAACGATGCCAAGGGCAGGGCTAACTACAGCCACCATGCTTGGCAACGACGGCTCATATTCAGGGATGAGCCGGTGTAGAACTGTAGATCTAGTCGATCATCTTGATCATCGTCGTCAAGCATATCGTTGGTTGAGATGTGGTTGTATAAGAATTGATCGGCAAACATGACGGCTGTGACGGATGGCAAGATCATCAGGGACAGCGTTCGAACTCCTGCAGGGTCATCCCTCAGGGTATCTATCGTGGCCAACTGCAAATTTACAATGTATTGGATTTATTATGTTAAGGACACCAGGGTTTCAAGCTTAGTGGGCTAACGAGCACTCAAGTCCTATCGGGGCCCACTTCTTAATCTGTCATCGGATTCCGGCCGAGACGTACTGGAATGGCCTAGATCAGGGGCACGAGAGAGTCAATGTTAGAAGATAGTAGAATCGAAATTGTCTGACGATTACTTCTACTGTCTACAAGTCTTTCTCCAACTTCTGAGTTGCAGGCAGGGTTTGGTTGGACTGCAGAATTTCTGGCTCCAGGGCTGTTTGATCGTGACCCACAAATCCAAAGAACCGGTGAGACATTCTTCAGCCCAGTGAGACACTCAATCTCCGTCAGATATTAAGGGTGGCCAAGCTAAACCCAACGCAGGAGTAGACTCAGTGGAAACCAGGTCCCCATTAATCTATACAAAGCGTCTGGAGACTCCACCGAACGCCACACCAGAGATATCCTCGGCTTCTATCAACCTGCATGGCATGAGGTGCGAGTATAAGAGGTGGCTACGACCCCTGCAATAATGGAAATCATCATCAACTCCTTCACTCTCATCAAGACATTCAACTCGGTCCAAGATGAGGCTTTCTGCATTTGCTTTGCTGGCCGCAGCAGCCACTGCCGCCGCCACTGGTGTCAAGGGCGCCGCTGAGGGATTCGCCAAGGGGGTTACTGGTGGTGGAAGTGCTTCTCCTGTCTACCCCACGACCAACGATGAGCTGGTCTCTTACCTGGGCGACGATGAGGCCCGTGTCATTGTCTTGACCAAGACGTACGCTGGCCAACCTTTGCTTATGAAGTGAGACTAACTTGTGTAGCTTCGACTTCACCAACTCCGAGGGCACCACCACCGCTAAGGGCTGCTCGCCCTGGGGCACTGGATCCAAGTGCCAGCTCGCCATCAACAAGGACGGCTGGTGTGACAACTACCAGCCCGATGCTCCCCAGACTACCATCACCTAGTGAGTTCGCCCCCCTCACACTGAGTCCCCTGCTAACAGATTATAGCAACGCCGCCGGTATGCTGGGCATCACCGTCAAGTCCAACAAGAGTTTGATCGGCCAGGGCTCCTCCGGCGCCATCAAGGGCAAGGGTATCCGCATCGTCAACGGCGCCCAGAACGTCATCGTCCAGTAAGCCCTCTCCCAATTCTCTCCACCGTCCTCATCTAACAGCCCAGAAACATCGCCATCACCGACATCAACCCGCGCTACGTCTGGGGCGGCGACGCCATCACCCTCAACGACGTCGACATGGTCTGGATCGACCACGTCACGACCGCCCGCATCGCCCGCCAGCACATCGTCCTCGGCACCAACGCCTGCAACCGCGTCACCATCTCCAACAACTACTTCAACGGCGTGTCCGACTGGTCCGCCACCTGCGACGGCTATCACTACTGGGGCCTGTACCTGGACGGCTCCAACGACATGGTCACGCTGCAGGGCAACTACATCCACCACTTCTCCGGCCGCAGCCCCAAGGTCGGCGGCAACACGCTCCTGCACGCCGTCAACAACTACTGGTACGACTCGACCGGCCACGCGTTTGAGATCGGGGCTGGCTCGTCTGTGCTTGCCGAGGGCAACATCTTCCAGAACATCAATGCCCCTGTTGAGGCGAGCAGTCTTGCTGGTAACCTGTTTACCTCGCCGGATACCAACACCAACTCCGTTTGCTCTTCGTACCTGGGACACACGTGCCAGGTCAATGGCTTTGGTAGCTCGGGTACCTTCAGCCAGGCGGATGAGGGATTCCTGGCCAACTTCAAGGGCAAGAATGTTGCTGGTGCGGATGCTTACAGTGCTGCGCAGAGCGTTCCCAACAATGCTGGTCAGGGGAAGCTCTAAGCCGCTGGCAAGTCGCAAGGGGCGGTTAGGCTGGGTTGAGCCGGCCTGAAGCCCAACTTCGCTGGGTGAAGTGTACTTATAGATATTCGTTTCGTTTCCGAGGTAGACTTTGGTTAGACTACCTTGTTTTAATTGCATAATTGATAGACATTTATAGAATCAACCTTGAAATCACCAACAACCTCAGAGTCTGCTTCCGGTATTCTAGGAAATATTCTGCATTGAAGAGAAGCTTCTGCTAGGTACACACCTCATACAGCAATTTGCGCACCCCGTATCGCAAAAAAAGCTGCCCCAGCCTCCCTCATAACCTCGTTCTCCTCCTGGCTACTAACATCCCCAAAGACCTCGTCGATCTGCTCGAGCGTCTTGCCACTCGTCTCCGGGACAAGAAAGAACGCCCACACCCCCGCAAGCACACACCAGGCCGCAAAGAAGACGTACGTGCCGTAGGTGATATTCGCCATCATCGGGGCATTACAAGGCCAAGGATGAAGTTGCCCAACCAATTGACGCATGTTGACAAAGCCACCCCTTTTGATCGAATCGCGTTCGGAAAGACCTCAGACGGCAAAGCACACGCAAAGAACCTACCTGCAGTCATTGAGCACGCAACAGGCAGGCCACAGCTCCATATTCCTGCTTCCAAGGTCGAAGCCGCCATGTTACGCGATTATGCCCATGGTAACCTTGCCCGGACCTGCAGGTACTCTGCGTGGCGGCCTCGTTTGTGAGTGTCCTGGGGTCCCCACAAATCTACCTATGGAGTTGAGGCAAGCCCTAGTCCGAAATGAAAAAATATCGTCTCATAGAGTCTATCAAGGGCTTCGAGATGCGGTCTGCCGTGATATACCATATTTGAGGGCCGGAATGCTGGGTTGGTATGGCAGACGGCCGATCGAACGTCGCCACTCGTAGCCCTAACACCGGACATAAGGCAATCAGTCCAGGGCTTTCTAATAATACCACCCCGAAGTCCGCAGCGCAATGGGGGTATCTAAGTTCATCCACTTCTCTTGGTCCCACTACTAGGTACACTATGCAGCAAAGGCTCCAGATATCCGGCGACCGGGCCTCCTTCACCACGGTTACACTTGATCCAAATAAAAGTAATTTGCATTCTCGCTAACTACTCCGTAGAGGATTTCTGGGATCCGATGCTTCTGCAGGATATATTCGATGCTCCGGCTCCACATTGATAGGGAGGATAACAGTAAAAGTAAGATATTCTAATGCGTGGAAATAAAGGACAGGCTACTTTCTACAGGAGTGTTCCTCGCTAGATTTCTACATGAGCTGCGAAACCTCCAATGAGCCTAAGATGCGTTGTTATTGAAGGGTGGAACTGAGGCTGCTCCCAGCACTTACACAGTCTCTGATGCCGCTTGGGCTTCCTCTAACATCATCCTCTCATCATCCCCTTGCTTCTCCCTTGAGATTTATATGAGGCCCTTTGAATACTGTACTAAGGAAAGCTGTTAATTAAATAGATACTGGAGAATTAAATAAGGAACATAATAATATTTAAAAGCTAAAGCTAACTAGGGTTTATATAAATAATTTAAGCTTTTAAAAATAGTAAGAATTTTAAATACTTTTACTAATACTTTATAATATTTAAAAAACTATAAATATTATAATTATACAAGTAAGTAATTAAATAATAAATATTATAATATTTTAATTAAAACTACCCAAGGTACTTAAGTATTATTAAAATATTACAGTACTTTTTTATTAAATTAAGTAATCTTTATTATTAGCTAACACGCCCCCTTAACACCTACTTACTTTTAAATTAATTAAAAATGTAAGGCCTATTATACTGTATATAGCCCTTTTATAAGACTTAAAAATATCCGCGGATAGCTTTGCTCGTGGATAGCTAAATTAGTTTTTAGGTACTAACTTAGTATATATTAAGAATATTTAGCCTTTGCAAGGCTAAAAATTTAAACCTTAGTATTAATTTTAATATTTTTATTTTTACTAAAAATTATTATTTATAAACCTTTTTTTAGGTATATTATACTTTATTATATTATTTATAAATTTTTAAGGCTAAAAACCTTATAATTTTAATACTTATTAATATATTTACTTTATTAAGGGTAACCTATACTTATATTATAAGTTACTTAAATATTTTTATAATAATTAAAAGTAATCTTTTATAAAATTATTTAAAAAAAATTTATTTACCTTTTATAAGTAAACCTATTTATAGTTATAAAAAAAATTTAAAAAATAGTAATCTAAACTTTAATATATTTTTATAAAAAAAATAATAATTAAAATTATTTGCGGGTAATTAAAAAAATACTTATTTATTTAAAAAACTTAGCTTAAATAAGCTATATTTACAAGCCATGTAAATTAAAAAGGTTAAAAAAGTAAAATAACTTATTTATAAAATTTATAAAAAGCTTTTAAAAAAGTAATTTATTAATAGGTTTTATAAATAATTTTATTTTTTTATAAAAAAAATTACTTATCTTGCGGCTGTCTAGTAAAAAAAAGTAATATAAAATTATTACTTATAATAACTATTATACCTTTATAAAAAAATAAATATATTTAAAAAAGTAAATAACTTTTTATAAAAAAAGGTATTAAAATTTATAATACTTTATTTAAATTTGATTTTATAAAAATAATAAGCTATAAAGGTAAAATTCCTAGAATATTTAACTTAAAATACCTTTTATAATTTTTTTAAATAATTAAAAAACCCTGCAGACTAACTATATATAGTATAAAGTAAGGTATTATATATAACTTTTAATAAGGGCAAGTTAAATTATATATACTTATAATAATAAAGGGAGTAATAATTAAAATTAGGTAATTAAAAGGGTAATATAAATATAATTTTTTTATAAATATTTTTTAAATTTTATTTATTTATAATAAAGCAAAAGGTCTATAAATAGCTATATTTTTTAAGAATATTTATAAAATTAATTTCCCTAGTTACTAAATTTTACTTAAATCTTTCCCTTTTATAAGATATACCAAGCATTAATTTAAAGTTTATAAAAGCTAATTTCTTATAAAATAAGTATAAAGGGTTTTTATAAAAAATAGGTAATTATAAAATAAAAAAACCTGCCTTTATAAAAAATAAAAATAAAAAAAAGCCTTAATATTATTATTATAAAAAAATTAGGTATATTAAGCTAAAATGCCTAAAGCTTGTAAAAAAAGTAAAAAAAGTAAAAAATAAAAAGTAATATAAAAACCTTATAATAGTAGCAGCTATTATTAGTAAATAATTTTAATTAAATATAAATTAAGTTATTATAAAATAATTATTTTTATTTATAAAAATTATATTATTTAATAAAGTAATTATAAACTATAGGCCCTTGTAAACTATAAAAGTATTATAAATATAATTTTTTTACTTTTTATAAAATAAGTAAAATAAAAAATTTTATTATATTAAATTTTTATATAAGCTATTAATAACAGGTATATATAAAATAAAGGTATTATAAAGGTAAATATATACCTTTAGGATTTATATAAAATTTAAAAAATTTTTAGGTGCTTGTAGTAATATTATTCAATATAAAATAAGTAATATTAGGTATATTATAGCTAGAAATTTATAATTTATAAATAGTTTAGGCTATAAAAAAATTAACCTTTATAAAATAAAATTATTATATAAAGGGGGTTTTTATAAAAAAGTTTACTAAGGGTATATATAAAAAGTAAGTTAAGACTTTTTAAATTAGTATAATAAAAGTTAAATAAATTATATTAAGTAAAAAATTACTTAATTAATACTAGGATTTTATAAGGGTATTTTAAAAAAAAAGTTATAATAGCTCCTACCTTACTATAAAAAGGTTAACTTAAAAATTAAGGTTAAAAATAATAAAAAATTATTATTTAAACCTTTATATTACTACTCCCCGCAGGAAATAGTAATTATTTATAAATATATATAAATAATACTTATAAAAAGTTAGATTTAATTATTAAAGTTTTTTATAAGGGCGCCTTTACTATATATACTTAAAAAAAATAATAAAGTTTATATATATATAAACTTCCGCGGGCTAAATATTATATTTATAAAAAATTAATATTTCCTGCCTTTAATTAATAAAATAATTACAAGGCTAAGTAATGCTAAAATTTATATATAATTAAATTTTTATAATATATATAATTATATTTATATTATAGCTAGGGATAAATAAAAAATAGTATTTTATATAAAGTATAAGCTATTTAAGTACTTAATAATATTATTTAAACTTATTAATATACCTGTAATGTTTTAGGGCTTTATAAATTAAGTATTTTATAATTTATTAAATATTATAATTATAATATATATTAATAATATTATTATATTTTTACAGGATATAAAAAGTTATAAAAAATATATTTATAAAGTATTAAAAAAGCTTTATAAAACAGGCCTGTACTATAAGTAAAGTAAGTATATATTTATAATATAAAAAATTAACTTTTTAAAATATATTATTATACCTAATAAAGTTAAAATAAAAAAATTACATGTGGCTATAATTTAAAAGTAACTAATATTAAAAATAATGCGTGATATTTTTATATTTTTAGGCTTTATTAATTAATATTATAAGTTTATTTATGCCTACATGGTAATAATAATAATTTTTATAAATTTTTTAAAAAATTAAAAAATAGTCCCGCAAGAATAGCTAAAAATAAAGTATTAATTATAATATTAAAAGATTATAATATAATAAATTTTTTAAAAAAAAAGTTTAAAAAAATAATATAATTAAACTACTTTATAAAAAAGTTAGCCACGCAAGTAAAAATAAATACCTTTAAAAATAGTTTTTATAATATATTAACCTAATTATATTTTAAAAAAATATAAAAGCTTATAGCTTTTTTTTTTATAAAAGCTTATTTTAATAAAATATAATTATATTATTAGCAAGCAAGAGCTTCTAGCTATTATAAAATCCTTTTATAAATAAAAATATTATTTT